GCGATCTTGGTGAGCTCGTTGATCGTAAAAAGGTTGTAGCCGCCGGGCTGGCCGAGGGCCCAGCCGACCGTCTTGGCCGCGCACGTGCTCTCGCCCATGCTCAGTTGCACCTCGTTGATGAGCGCGTAGTCAATGTCAAAGTACGCGTACGTCTTGTTGACGTGGGGCACGGCGCCGACGGGCGTCGTGAGGCTCTGGCCGTCCACCGGCGCGTAGTGCGGGCCGCGGTCGTTCGTGACAAAGCGCGGGTAGCCCGGGCGCGACGAAGCAAATACGCCGCGGCTGGCGCCGTCAGCGTGCTCCATGGCCGGCACGCGCACGATGCGCAGGTCGATGGCACCGAACCCCGTGTCTTCGGTGTGCGAGACAAGCACGGAGCCGTCGACGGTTGCGCCTTTCCCGGCGACGATGACGGTGCACGCCGTGACGCTGGAGGCGACGAGCGCGAGGATGTGGGCGAGACGCATGGGAATGCCAAATGACTCGAACTCAAGGATGCCTCCGAGGTGCAGTTGAAGTCATGGCCACCTTGAAGCAACCACCTCGAGATCCAAATCGAGTGTGCAAACGCCTCGCGTTTCATTGGCGGAGACGCGGTCGCATGTCCAACGAAGTGGCTTCATTGGCTACAAAGACAGGATTTTGTCCAATGATGTCACGACGTTGAAAGAGTGATTTCGCCGTTCAACTTCCAAAGGGGGTGGGCTAGGCACCCCTTTTATATAGAAAAGAGACACGACACACTGTAGGCCTACCCAATGCTCGTGCGGTCCTGCACACTACATCGATAGCGGTGTATTGTTTTGACGAGATCATGCATGCGATAATGCGCTGGTACTGCGCGTGGTCGACTGCTAACGTCACGTGTCGACCTCGGTGCTTTCGGTGGTAACACAAAGGGAGTGTGAAAACACCCCCTTTTCGTAAACTGTCTGAAGTCTCGGCTGCTTTTTTATTCTTTGACGACGAATCTTGAGAAGCGGCAATAGGCGATGGCAGCACTCTTTGGGCCGCTGCCGTCCGTGAACCGCGACGCGTTCCGCTGGATCCCGGACAAGGAGGCCGAGAAGTGCATGAACTGCAACTCCGAGTTCACAGTCTTCAACCGCAAGGTACGTGCTCGCCAGCATCCCACGCGACCTCATGCACGCGCAGCACCACTGCCGCCGCTGCGGCCACGTCGTGTGCAAGAACTGCTCACCCAACATTCGCCGCGTATCGCCACAAGACCCATTCGTACGAAGCACCATCGATCGCGGTGCATTGGCTCATACGCGTGTGTCTGCGTAGCCCGTGCGCGTCTGCAACCCGTGCTACACGGCCGTCGACGAGCACTTCACATCGCTCGAGTGGTCGGGCCACACGACGACCGAGGTACTGTGCCCATCCATCTTGCATGTGGCACTCATGGTCGCGTCACTGGACCTTAGGCAGAGCGCAGCCCCGACCCCGTCGCGAACGGTCGCGTGCACATTGGGCAGCTGTACGTCAAGGTCGTTGAAGCCATCGGCCTTCCGTCAACCGACTCGATCGCCAACTCAATCACAAGCGATCCGTTTGTCAAGGTCATTCTCACTGGTCGCTGGTCCCACGGACAGGTAGGACCTCGTGTTTTGCGAAATCATCTCACGACGGTCGCAGGAGTGGGGCACCGACTTGCAGTCGATTCGACTCACGAAGCGCAAGTCGCGCACGCTCAACCCGCGCTGGCACGAGACCTTTGTCTTCAACGTCTGCGCGCCGGGTGCCGAGCTCGTCCTCGAGGTCTACAACAGCGGACAACTCGGGCAGCCCACAAAGCTCGGACAGGCGGTCGTGCCGCTGAGCATCCTCATGGACCAGCGCCGGCACAACAAGTGGCTCGACTTGCTTCTGCCTCAGGGACTGTACCGCGAAGGCCTCAACAACGACGCGCGCGCGGGCCGCATTCACGTTCTGTTGCACTACAAGTTTGCGCGCGCCGCCGAGTTTGTCTCGCATTTCGCGCCCGAGCAGCCGTACGAAGCGCCGTGGCCCGCGTTCAAGGCAGCGACGCTCTACTCGAACTTTTGGCTGCTCCTCGACGACCTCTGGCCGTACCTCGAGGTGCTCTGGGCCATCTCGCCGACGCTCAACTGGGAGCACCCGAGCAGAACGTGCTTTTGGCTCGCCCTCGTCGTCTGGATGTGCGTCTACATACGGTGGGTGCCCGTGCTACTGCACCTCTTCCTCATCGGCCTCGTGCTGCGCAACCACTTTGACATGACGGTCAAGATCCAGCCATCGGAAGCTCCGATCTCGTCGGTCGTGACCCCGCCCAGCTTTAACACAGCGCCGAGCCTCGAGCCGAGCAGCAGCAGCAGCAACCTCCTCGACGGCCAAGCGCGCGTGTACAACTTGCCCCAGGGCTTTCACCACATCACGGACAAGATGACGCGCCTCACGACGGACGCCGAGACGCGGCACACGCTGCAGAACGTCCAGAACAACATGGCGTGGTGGTCGGGCGTCATCAAGTCGATCGAGCTTTTGTTTTCGTGGGAGGACTTTTTCTACACGGGGTATGTGCTCATCGGGCTCATCGTCAGCTGCATCTTGCACGTTGTGATCCCCAACCAGTACTTATTGCTGCTGGTCGTCCTCTGGCTCTTTGTGCGTTGGACGGTCCCGTACATCACGCTCAGCCGGTGGCTCTACGGCGTCAAGCAAGGGATTCGGTCGCTTTTGCACCAGCACCGCCTCCTCTCGATGCACGAGCAGAAGGGCCTCATGGACCGCGACTCGACCAGCAGCACCAACTCGGGCCCGCCGTCCATCAACGTCATGGACCTCAATGGGAAGAGCTCCATCAACAACGCATCGAACCCACGCGGCCGCATCCAGAGCATCAGCCACCGCAACAAGAGCGTCTCGAAGCGAGAACTCATGATTGGCGCCGCCGCCGCCGAGCTCTCCAAGCGCATAGCGGCCGAGAGCAGCGGAGGTGGTAGCGGCAACTTTTCGTCCCTCGACGACTAACGTTTTCTACTAACTTTGTAAAAACTATCTGAATCAAGTCAATCGTCGTCTCTCGTGGGACATGTTGTTTTCGCCAAGTACTGCCGTGCGCCTGTCGTGTCTTGAACGACGTGAAAATGAATTCGCGTGCAAAAATTCTGGATTCGAGTTCGTTTATGCATAGATTGATGGAGCTCTTAGACGCCCGTGGTTGTGAACGGGTGCATCTCGACGTCGGAGAGCGTAAAACGCTCCTCTTCCTTCTCAACGAGGAGGTTGCGGACCAAGTGAGCGGCGTTCTCCGACATGGTGGCCGGGATCTCAACAGGGAGGATGACGTAGTCGACCTTCGACGGTGTCGGTGCGTTCGTGGCGTCGTAGCGGGGTGGGCCATGGCCGTCCATGAGCAACGTGTACAACACGATGCCGAGGCCCCAGAGATCCACCTAATCGACTGCATGAGCAAATGAGCAACAAAAGTGACGCACGCACGGAAGTCCAGTGGGGCTTTCCTTCCAGTTTCTCAGGCGCGGAGTACAGGTTGCGGTTGTCGTTCGAGAGACGACCTCCTTTTGTGTTGCAGGCCGAGAACCCGAAGTCGGTAATTTTGACCACGTCCTATACAAGCAAAATATGAGAATGGAACAAATCAAACGCAGCCGGACGTTGTGGTCCAGAAGGATATTCTCCACACGGAGGTGGCGGTGGAGCACGCCCTTGCCGTGGATAGAGGTAAGCCCGCGCACGAGCTGGCGGATGATGCTGGCCACGCGAAATGTCGAAAACGCGCCGTTGGACTGGAGCAGCGCGTTGAGGAGGTTGCCCTTGGCGCAGAGCTCTTGGACGATGTACACCCGGCCCTTGTGCGTGAACCAGTTGTATGCCGCCACGATGTGGGCGCACCGGATGCGGATTTGGGATTCACCCTCCCGGCGGAAGTTGATTGCTTGGCGCACGTCCTTGAGTGCGTCCAGCGGGATGGCCTTGACAGCCACGATAGTGTTGGACGGCACGTGCACCGCCGCGCGGACAACGCAGCTCTTGCCGCAGTCGAGATCCTTGACAAATCGAAAATCTTCAAACGTCGTGGTGCTCACGAGCGTACTGAAGCCGCTCGGCCAGTCCCCCGACACACGAGCGTTGGGCAAGTTGGGAAAACCTACAATAGAGAAACATGTACACGGTCGCTACGCCAAAGCGCTGCGTACGGTCAAAGACGACGTCGGCAGGTGCCCCAAAAACCTCGTGGGCGCGCTCGCGCGAGAGCGTGCCTTGCTCGCGCACTTTGTTGTCCCAGGAAGCCGAGCCGTATGGGAAGACAGTGTCGTCGATCTAGCAGGATTCAAACGTTAATGTCGAAGGCAGCATCGACAAAAAGGATTGTACATCGTAGCAAGCTTCGTCATTGCTGCTCTCGCCCTCGATGCTTTCGCTATCAATGCTCTCGCTCTCGCTGCTCTCGTTGGCAACACTGTCATTGAGGCCCGCGACGACCTAGAACGAGCCCATGAAAATTTGTGAAAATGCACGCAGCGGTACCTCCAATGATCGCATGTGGGCCTCCCGCTCCAGAGCGTTCATGTCATCCGTGTCATAGCTGATGTTGAGCTTGCTCTAGTGGTTGCATTCGACAAGATGCAATGTGTTGAGTAAAAACAACCTCGCCCTCGTCGTCCTTCAACGTCTCTTGAGCAGCCTCGGGCGCTGAGATCGCGACAGCCTCCTAAACGCATGATGCAGAAAGCGCTCGCATGCATCGCGCTCGTACCGCTCGAAGGTCTTCGTCTTGCGCGTTGATCTCGGGGAGAAACGGCGGGGCGCACTTGGACCCGACAGTGATCTACGAATCACATGATATACATACATCTCACGGGTAGACCTACGAATCTATAATAATTCAAAATGGCCTCAACGCAGCTCTTCTTGTTGGGCTTGTAGCCCAGCTTGAGGCGCTTCGCGACCGCCTTCAAGTCGGCCGCGTCGCATTGGTGCAAGGCGGCGCTGTCCATCGCCTGGTACGCCATGAACTCGGACTTCATGATGGTCGGGTCCTAACGAGGTACGTCAAAGACATGCATGCACAGGAAGGGGTCGTGTACGGAAGCGTCGGTCCGCGCGCGCTTCCCATCGCTTGGCGACGGCTTGGACTGCGGGGCGGCCCGCTTCTTGTCGTTCCCCTTCGGGTTGGGGCTGCTGTTCTCCTAGGATGCATCTCCATCGGACGTCGGTCGGGAAGGAAGCGCTTCCTACATCCATCATGGCCACCGCGCCGTCCATCACGTCGGTCGTCTTGCTGCTCATCGGTTCTTGGCGGCTTCTTATTTGAATGTCGAGTTCGAGCGGTCGTCGTTTCAGCCAATCAGCGACCGACATTCGAGTTCTCGGCCCAAGGTATCTTTGGTCCATGAAGCCAATCAGGTGCAAGGTATCTTTTTCAGTGAGCCAATCCCCGCTCATATAAAGTAGTGGGCTCTCTACATCCACTTGATTGTGCGAATTCAAATATAGAGGTTTTCAAGACCTCAATAACATACTAAATCAACGCTAAGTTTGATAACCAATACCTCATCTCAAAATGGTTGTGCAGATGTATGCATTGTAAGAGGTCATGGCCTCTTGCAGAGACTGCAACCAGTGAAATCATCATGCCCAAGACCAGCGCCAAGGCCGCGCTCGTCGCGGAGCTCGATGCGACGACGAGCCGGATCGCCCGGCAGTCGTACCAGAAGGAACCGCCCAGTTGGGACGACTTGGAGATGGGGCTGCGCCGAGCGGCTGCCATGGAGGCCGATGTGCGATGGATTCTGGCCAAGACGCAGTGGTGCCACCGCAGCGCCGTGCTTACAGGCGTCGCCGCCTTCGTAGCCGAGACGATCGTCGCGCTCGCAACGACTGCGTCGACTCACGAGCTCTATGCTGCGCTATGTAGCTCGCTCCTTGACCAGCTCACACGCCCCTGCTTCGAGTCATCTACCGAGCTCGCCCGCGCCTGCAAGTGGCGTAAGGTACCCCGGTACATGGACATGCAGTGCACAACGCGCTGGAAAGCGCTCTCGCCAGCGCTCACGAAGCTCGTAGTCGCGACGCCCGATCGCTTTGCCGCATGCCTCCGCGCGACAGACTTGCAGCCTCTCTTCAACGCCCATGCGCAGTGCGCGGTCGTCGTCATGAACGGGTTCTGCCAAGTGTACCACGGTCTTCTCGCGAACGCATCGTGCCCGAGCATGCTGTACGTGCTCGTGCGCGCCATCCTCTCGATCAACTGGACGTCGACAAAGGAGGCTCCGTACCGAGACGACCTTCTCTGCCGCCTCTTTCGCTTCCTCCAAGAACTGCCCTTCAAGGCCGCGCCTCAGAGCCTCTTCGCAGGCCTCCAAGAAGCCATCGTCGAGAGCTTGGCCACGCCGCACGAAGGCGTCGTCCTCCTCACCAAGCTCACGTCGCTTCTCTCGGAAGACCTCATGCTCCGAATCCTTGGCGACTGCTACGACTTGACCATGGCCACCGCGTCGTTACAACCCGAAGCAGGGAATCCGTACCTGCGCTTCCTCATGGGCTTTTGTGCCCATACGACACTCGTGCCCACGCCGACGATCGTCGCGCTTCTCGGCAACCTCTTCTCACCCGACTCGGCCTGTGCGACGCACAAGCGGCTCGCAGCTGCCTATTACATTGCGTTGCACCGAAAGCTCGACTTGCGCCGCGAAGTCGAGCTCCAGCGCCTTCTTCTCGACGCTGGTGACGTGCACCAAGAGGTACAGGGTTCGAAACTGGTGTTGCGTCTCATTTGCTGCCATTAGATTCCCGATGAGCTCACGTCGGCGTTTTTCATAACGTGCTTTCATCGTAGCCAGCGCGACATTGATCTGTGGCTCGCGCAGCACGAGATTGGCGGCGGCGACTCTGCGCCGTGGGCGTCCATGATACCATTTGCGACGCTGCAGCTGCACCCGCGCGCGATCCAGACCGCGCAGCTCGCCAACGAGATCCCGTGCGTGCTTGCTGGCCCGGCGTTTGAAGCCGAGGTAGCGTATAGTCGGGAGAAGCGGCGACGCACAGCGCGCGCTTCCGTCGAAGACTGCTTGGACCCGGACGTGCTGCTGCACATCTTTGGCTTTCTTTCGCCCAAGCGCATCGCTCGGCTTTCGCTCGTGTCGCGGGCGTTTCATCACGCGTCGAGTGACCCGAACCTGTGGCGGCGCCTGTACCAGGACCCAACGAGCTTCGTCTCGCCCGTGCTGTGTCTGCACGATGTTAGCTACGTCCACGACTACAAGGCGCTCTTTGCTGCGCGTTATCGGCACGAACGCAGCTACAAGCGGCAGCTCCGGTACCAGCACCCCGAGAAGAAAAAAGACCTCCAGTGCTGCAACGTCTGCGACTGCCTCACGATGACAACGACCGGCGTGCGCGCTCTCGCCCATGCCAAGGACCACCAAAAGAAGCCGATCGTCTGGCGGCCATGTCCGACCTGCGGCGAGCAGTTCCCGTCAAAGAACAAGCTGCTCTTGCACAAGCGAGCCCTGCACGGCAAGACACAGCCGCCAAACCAGTCGTAATACAAAGAGATTGATTATTTGCTGGCAGCCTCGCGTGCAAGTGAAACGGAAGCCACGCCAAGATGGTCAAAATGGCGGGTCGGCGACACGAAGCGTTTCTGCGTCCCATTATAATCTCTCCCAGAGGATGCCCGTGGGTCGCGTCATGGCTGGGAACGACAGCAGCCGGTCCTACATGAGTTCAAAGGAGGAGGACCCGCGCCACGAAGACTACTCGGAGGACGAAGAGCACCACCCAAAGTCCTCGTCCCGCGAGTCCAAGTCCCGCATTGGCATCCGATGCCTCGCGACTGCGGGCCCCCGCGTGAGCGTCCGTGACCAGATCGGCGAGCTCTTTGGCCGCTGCAACAAACACGACGACGTGCTCCGAGACATTGACGCGACGCAGCGCGCCGACAAGACGCAGATTCTCGCCATGATCGAGCGCCTCGCCGAGCGCATGGACGCCGAAGTCGCGCTTGTCCGATCCGAGCACGAGAAGGCGCTCAAGGCCGCGCATGACGAGATCGATCGGCTCAACAAGTGTCTCAACGTCCAGCGCGGCCAAGTCATGACGCTCGAAGAGCAGTGCCAATCACTGCATCGCCACGTTGTCCAAGTCGAAGAAGACGTCCAAGTGCTTGCCACCGAGGTCTTAGGAGAGTAATGACCATAGTATAGTCCACGTAATTGCATACTGCGGCCGGTGTTCAATGGTCCTCGTCGGGCTCGTGTTCGAGTGCGCGGAGGAGAATGCGAAACGCGTCCGACGTCAGCCGCTGCTGCTGCGCGTTCGAGTCGCCGGCAAACTACAGTTTGAGGAGATTATATACACGATCAGTTGAGGAAAGAGGGGCGTACGAGGCCACTCGAGAGCACGTCAAGCGCTCGCTTGTACGACCGCGTCGCAAAATACGACTCTTCGACGATCGCGATAAAGATATTGAGCACAATGTAAATGAAGAGCGCGATGAACGAGTAGAGGTAGGCCTACTTCCGAGTGGCATGGACCGAGCGAAAGAGCAAAGGACGTACGGCGCCAAGGATCGGAAAGTCGAGCTTGAGCGCATCAAAGCTGTCGAGGATGATGTCGCCGTTCATGATCGAGAAGAGCGTGATGCAGGATTGCTACATCAAATTTTCGTGTCCAGATTCAAGCGAGACACGTCGCACCGCGAGGCCTCCAAAGCCGTCGACACGGTCGCCAAAGACGATCGACCCAAACACTGCGTAGCCGAAAAAGATGGGCGAGACGCCCGTCTACGCCGAAGACTACGAGAAAACTGGATTCGAGATCAAGACGAACCAGAAAGTAGAGCACTTTGGGAATGCCCCAGCGCAGCGTGAGCACGATCGAGTAGAAATGCGGGTTGTGTTCGAGGTACCCGACGCACGTCGCACAGAGGAGTAGCGGGCCCTACAACAAAAACGCTATCGCCTCGAAAGGAGAATAATGGACGGACAAGGGCCTGGACGGCGCGGTGGGGCTCACTCACGGGCACGTACGCGACAGCTTTTGAGATGTTCCACACCGAGTTGAGACCCACGAGCACGATCGCGAGCGCGATAAAGATGTACCTATCGACAGTTTGTGCGTGATACCTCGAGTTGTAGGCGTACTGCGTCTTGAAGAACTGGAGCTTGATCGCCAAAGGAACCTCGTGCCAGCTCTGGAGCAAATGCCGACCGCGCGCTTCGTCAGACTCGACGTGCAACGCCTCGTGGGCGAAGCGCTTCGCCTTGGCAAACCTACGGCGTGATACAATCACAAGGGTCGGACGCTACAATCCCACATGTGGATCGAGCGCCGGAGGCTCTTGATGCTCAGCACCAAGTAGACGACGCCAATGACCAGAATGACCACGTTGAGCCAGAGATACCGGTGTCGAATGGCTTTCCAGAGGCCTTCGGTCGAGCAGATGCGCAAATGGCTTGGCTCGACAACGATGCTAGAAGAATCCGAATTGGCGAGTGACACATAGCTGCAAACTACCGAAGATGGCTTGCGTGCACCTTCTCGATCGCGACGTGCACTTGCCAGTCAAAGCAGTCAAAGTAGAGCGGGCCGTAGTCCATGTCGCGTAAGCGCAGCGTATACGTCATGCGCTGCAGCGAGTAGAAGAAGGCGGCGAAGTCACTCAGGGACGTGAGGTTCGCGAGCGGCCCCATCGAGGTCGCGGTGATATTGTAGTTGCTCTCGACGACTTGGCCGCGAATCACTTTCCGCACCGCCAGCGCAATCGGCTCGGGCACCTTGGGTGTCTCGTAGTGGTACTCGTAGTTGGCGACCGAGAGCCCGCCGATGGCAAAGTACGCATCCCGGATGTTCTGCATCGCTGCTATCGTCCCGTTGATCGTGTACAGATTCTCGGTAAAGCTACACACAGAATATGCTCTTAGCGCTCAGCGAGTACTAGACGCACCGGTATTCGTTGGGCTCGAGGAGCGTTGGGCCGCTCGGGAGGAAGAAGTAGACCCTACGACGCCCGTGAGAGTCCATGGGGCGCGGCGGATGCGCCGACCAGTTGCGGTACGAAGCGCGGATGTAGGCCGAGTTTTGCGCGTCATAAACAAAGATCTAGGATGCGCGAGATGAGCATAAGCAACGTTGGTGCATCGTGCCTGCGTCATGGTGCAGAGCAGGAGAAGCATGTGGCAGGCGAGCTTCCATGGGAAGCGGCCATGGTAGCCCCATTTCTCCCATGGCGAGAGCAGGATGCGATGCAATTGAGGCATCTGTCCGCGCGTCGGTGCGGCGTCGGCCCGCGGGCTCGTAGGCGACGGCGCCAGAAGCGGCTCGTCCATCCCGTCGCGAACGTCCAGCATGCAGGCAAGATCTTGTTGAATATTTTGAAGTCCGATTATCCGGATGTGTGGGTGTTCCAGCCATTTGGTGTGTTCAGCGGTTCCGAGCACCTCGTACGACGATGGACGTGACCGACGACGACGTGAAGGCCAAAGTCGCCGACGACATGACGGTCGAAACTACCGAGGACGTGCAGGTTGAAGCTGCTGCGGTCGACAGCAGCGACATGGAGGTCGATGAGGTCAAGGTCGACGAGCCCGTTGTGGAGGCCAGGCAGATGAACCTTCCGGACGTCGAGGTCTCGGCGCTCCTCGGGCGCGTGACCTCGTGGACCGACGTCAACATGCACTTGCAGCACGACACGGTGAATGCGTTCTCTCTCACGCTCCATGCACAGTGCCAGCAGGAGCTCCAGATCCACACGCGCGTCCGTGTGAACGGTACCATCGATCTCTCGTACGAGTTTCTCTGCGGCGGCCAAGGCAACACGGAAGCGTCGATCCTCAAGCGGCGAGGCTCCAGCCGCGAGATCGAGGTCGCCTGTGTCTTTTGCGGCCGCATTTGCTCGGACACGCAGGCCGGCCAGTACTGGTTCAACATGACGCTGCACCGCAAGGCGGATGGCGACGCGTACTTTCAGCTCTCGTCCGGCATTGGCAGTGGCATCGGCGACAAGCTTGTCATCATCGGCCAAGACCTGCTTCCGAAGGACACGACCCGCGTCGAAGTGGTCTCGGTCGGGGTCACGAGCGGTCGGTCGCCGGTCCGCGCCCGTGCGATCCAAGTCGCGGCCCATACCCAGACGCTGCTTTCGTCGGAAGTCGCGCTCTGCGTCATGTCGGACCCGTCGGGTACGGACCTCTTGACGCCCGAGCAGCGCGTGCAGTACGTCGCCGGCTGCGAAGGCGCCAAGAAGCGCGCCCAGCGCTTCAACAGCGAGTACAAGCAGCCGGACGTCAAGCAGTTCCTCGACTCGAAGATCGTGCGCATGATGCAGCGCAGCGGCGCTGTGACCGAGAAGGGCTTTTCGACCGGCTTTGACGTCATGAGCGCGGAAGAAGTCGCGAAGCGTGAGGCGCGCCGGAACCGCTTCAACGTCGCCGAGTACGCGATCGAGGGCGGCATCGCGCGCGAGATCTCGGAAGGTCTCACGGAAGACGAGCTCGCCAAGCGCAGCGAAGAGGCCGCGCGCCGGGCCGGTCGCGCCGCCAAGTTTGGCATCGAGACGCACAGCAACATGCAGCTCCACGCGGCGTCGCCCAAGGTGCTCGCGGAGCGCGTCGACATGAACACAGCGCTCGAGGCGCGGGACGACGCGATCCACATGTACTCTCTCGACGACGCCTTTACGAGCGTCCGGACGCGCGATATTCTGGCCTATTTCACGGGCTACGGCCCGTCGTACGTCGAGTGGATCAACGATAGCTCGTGCACGATCGTGTTTCACGACGCGTTCACGGTCTCCCGCGCGCTCCTCTCGCTGAGCGCCGATATTGCGCCCGAGCTGCTCCTCGAGGCCAAGCCCGTCAAGGACGTGGTGCAGAACCCCTTTGCCGCGCCTAGCGACGACATGAGCGCCGAGGATGGCGTCTCGGCCCACGCTGCCGGCTGGCGCGTCGGCGTGCCGATCAAGGCGTCGGATCACATGGACCGGCATTGGCGCCTCCTGCTTCGCCGCGCGACGATCAACGACTTCCCGCCCGAGAAGCCGTGGAAGCGCGACCAGTACCAGCGCGGCAGCCACCGCCGGGCGGGTGGGCGCCAGCAGCAGAGCAAGAAGCGCGGCCGAGACGACAACGACGACGACGAGAGCATGGGCCAGAGTCGCCGCCGGTATACAAAGCGCATTCACTCGTAAACGGCGAGAAGCGCGAGACCGATGCAGTCAAATCGTCGCCAACCTATACAGTCGCGCCACCTTATATAGTCGTGTTTTGCGGTATCACTACTAACGCCTGTCGATCGTCGCCTATGACGCTCTTAGTTGCAACGCTGCGTGGACGTTGCGCCATGCTGAGAGAGATACCAGCATGCGTTGCCCACCTGGCAACCAGGACGCTCGGTGTTCAGCTCGGAATCGCTCGCTTGTTGTAGCCAGCTAACACCCAAAACCTGCCGATACCTTGTCGCCATTTGACCTCGAGCGAGCATGCGGTGAGCACGAGTAGCGAGGTGCACGCATACGAGGCTACATGTCCTCGAGTGCAGGAGTAGTCACTGTGTCGATGTGTGTTTCTACTGCGCTCCCACCGCGTGATGTACAAGTAGCCCACGATGTCTCATTGAAACGAGTGACGCTTGCCGAGTCATTGGCAGAGCAACTTGAGGCGGTCGAGCTACGGGCAAACAGCGCGCTATTAAGGTTATAGCTTGGCCGAGATGGGCTCGCGGCAGTACGGGCACTCGCCAAAGATGGTTTGAAACGACTTGCGCGATGTCGCGATCGACGTGAGCCACTCGAGGATGCAGCGCTCGTGGAAGGGCCGCGCGCAGCTCTTATGGTCGCAGATGCGCCCGGGAATCGCGCCGTCTTCGGCTCGGTACGCGTAGCAGATGCCGCACTCCTGCTGGAACTCGTCGCGCTTGGTCGTCGATGGCGACGGAAACTTGAGGCTCAACACGCGCTCGAGGTTCTTCCGGAGCGTCTCGGCGGGCTTCCACTTGGTCAGCTGCTTGTAGAGCGTCTCTCGGAGCGGCCCGACCGTCGCTTCGTTCCCGAACCAGACAACGTCGACCAACGCGCGCGGGTTGAGCGGGTCGGTGACTTCAAACTGCAGAGACGCTTGCGGCACGACGGCGAGGCGCCGTCGTTTGCACGCGCGCGTCGGCCGCGCCGGCTCGAGCACGTAGCACTTCTTGTCCAAGTCGTCGAGGACGTCCCAAAAGTCTTGGTACTTGGCCAAGACCGTCGTGACCTACATGGCATCTCAATCGTGCTTACTGCAAGCGAAACGAACCTGGTCGAGCGCGTCGGCGAGGGTGCTCGTGGCCGACCACTGGAGCGGCGGCATGGGCTCAGGGATGTCGGCCGCACACTGAGGCGGCGACGCAGGGTACGCTGCATCCATAAGAAACGAGACGATGTGCGTGCGCTGCTTGGCGTCGAGCACCTTGACCTGGAGACCGTTCCAGTTGCCGATCCTGTCCGTGTTGACCTCGGCGATGCGGTCCCAGCCGATCTGCGCCACGTCATTGAGCAGCGTCTCAAAGAACGTGAGCGCCGGCGCGTGCACATCGAGGGCGCACGACGGCGCTCGCAATGCGCTTGTCGTGAGGTCGTAGAGCTCGAGCATGAAGGCTGCGAGCGTCGGGCTCTGCTGGAGGCGGCGCGCGACCACGTGCATGTGCGGGCGCAGCAGCTGCGCCAGCTGGTCGTCGAGCTCGAGGCCGGCGGCCTTGAGGCTCGAGCCCTCCACGTTGGTCACGCGCACGAGGAACTGGCGGTCATCGGCGACGTCGAGGAACCCGCGGTACGTCGTCCCGGCCAGATCTTCGGGCACGAGCGCTCCCATGGTCGCGTTCTCGGTTTCTATTGGGTGGTCGATCCCGGCTGGCTAAACGCACGCAATTGAGCACACCGTACGTGGCACGCCGGCAGCGCACCCACGATGCTTTGATTGCGCGAGCGACGGCCGGTCAATGGCATGGCGCTCGTCCCGCTCTCTCCTTCTCTGCTGTATACTGGGTCCGTGGTCAGCTTGTCGCTGCGTTCGAGGCAAGCTGGAAGCCGGGCGTTCGGTGCTGCGTGACGCGGCGATGCTGCGGCTGTAGACAGGCGTCGCGCTGGAGTAGCTTGCGCTTCATCGCTCGCACGATGGGTACCCGAGTTGTTGAACGAGTCTTCGATCCCCATCCCTGCAGCAGGAGAGAGCGAGCGAGCGGCTGGACCTTCATGCTGGCGTTGGCTCCACCTTCATGGCATCCGGCCCGTATCCGGATACTTGACCGACGTGTGGCAAGACATCACGATGAGCAGCGCCGAGGACAAGCCGCAGGCGACGACAGCCGCGCGCTTCGAGCCAACGCTGACGCTCGAGGGTCTTCGCGGGAGGATTGCCGCGTTTGCCGACGAGCGCGACTGGAACAAGGTACCATGAGCGCATTCCTCTGTCCTTTTCGTCATCTGGATGGTTCAGCACCACACGCCCCGCAACCTGCTCTTGGCCATGACGGGCGAAGTCGGTGAGCTCTGCGAGTGCTTCCAGTGGCGCGGTGACGATGGCCAACACCCGGATAGTACGTACACGCGCTTGGTCAATTGCTTGTACTCAGGCTCACTTTGTAGCGTGGACGGCCGCGGACCGCGAACACTTGGGTGAAGAGCTCAGCGACGTCTTGATCTACCTCATTCGCCTCGCCGGTAGGAGATCCTCAAGACGCCGCCTCTCATGTGTCCTATAGACCGGTGCAACGTCGACTTGCCAGCGGCTGCCCTCGACAAGATCAAGAAGAACGCCATCAAGTACCCTGCGGCGCAGGTCCAAGGCTCAGCGCTCAAGTACACGGCGTACGCGACCGACGCGCCTCGTAGCAACGCAGACAACTAAGACCTCGTAACGATACAGAGAGGCAGCTAGGTTAGTGGTGGTATGTACAGACTACGATTGGGCATCGACGCCGCCGCGCTGGACGTAGCGACGGAGCAGTGCGCAGCGCTTGGTCGTGTCGACGCTCTCGCTCTTGAGCGGCACTTGGTACGCCGTGTTGCCGCGAATCGGCTCGACGCGCACGTCGCCGAGGAGCTCGGGGCACTGGAGCGCGCCCTCGCCAATCTTGGCACAAACATCCATGAGGTCGTGCGCAATCGACGGCGAGACGACCGAGTCGTGGTGGTAGTCGGGGTGCGAGCACACAAAGCGGCGCATCCACGTGGCGGCCGTCGGGAGCTCGCCCGTCGCGCGCTTGGCAATGAGCGCGAGGTACTTGTCCAACAAGCGGCGCGTCGTGTCGTCGCAGTTGATATGGTCGAGGTACGCATTCACGAGCGGGATCAACCCCGGGTAGTAGCACCCTTTCCCGAGCATAATCTCGGCGATCGTCATCGTCTCAAAGCTCTCGGCGCCATGAATGCACTTGGCCGCATCGTCGACGCACGTCGCGCTGCACTGAATGTGGCAGCCCGCCTTGTGGCACTCGTCGACGTCGGGCGGCGCGAGGTGCCGGCGGAAGAAGAAGCTTTCTTCGGTCGCCGCGTTCACGCGGTGCGCAATCTCCATGTTGGCGTTGACCTTGGAGAGCGGGACGTACAGGTTCAGGTCAAAGGCCAAGATGACGCGCGAGACGAGCGCCATGAAGACGCTAAACGCCGCGTTCTCGAAGTCCGTGAGCTGGATCTCCATCGACCGAAACTCCGTGCGCCACCCAATGTGCGGCGAGGAAGCGCCGTCCTCGGCCGGCGGCGGCGGCGGCTTCCAGCGCACCGTCTGCCAGTTGGTCGACTGGATGTTCTCGAAATGGTCGGTCGCCGTCTTGTTGTCGAGGTGGAGGCGCTGCTCAAAGAGCACGAGCGGGTCGCGGATAAAGAGGTGGGCAATGTGCTTGGCGAGCACGTCGTCGACGCCGTTCGCGAGCAGCGTCTCGTACGACTCGGCGTCGAACGGAATCTCAACGTCGTTGTAGTGATCGAGGTTCGCGTGGCAGTCTTCGCCGTCCTTGTGGTTGCAAATGAACGCCGAGATGCCTTCGTAGCGTGACTTGGGCAAGCGCTTGACGCCGTCGCCGGCCATCTGCGTGTAGCTCGCGGGCGCCGTCTCTTGCGGCGCCACGCCGCGCTCCTGGGGCGTGCGGTCGTCGACCGAGGCCGCGATCGTCGCCCAGCGCACGTCCGTGTCGGCGAGACGGCCCTTGAGGATCGGCGTCGCGGCCGTGAGCGCGAGCATGATGGGCGAGAGCACGCCGAGGTGGTCGTACAAGTGGCGCGACTCGCCAATGTTCTTGGCCTGGAACGTCACCTGGAGACAGCACATGCCCATGCCAAACGCCATCGCGTCCATGTGGATGAAGCCCGGGTGCGGCTCGCATTGCTCCGAGAACGACGACTGGCGCCGCGTGAGCCGCTTAAACACAGGCTCGGGCGCGATCGCCACCTCAATGTCCGTGGCGCTCGCTGGGCTCCGCGACCCTTCCTTGAGCGGGCTCTTGATGCCCGACGTCGCGTCGCCGTACGTCGGTCGCGCGTGCTCGGCGACCCACGCGGCTTCGTCTTCGAGCATTTGCTTGGTATACACGTCCTTGAAGATCGGGACGCGAATGTCGACGTTCTCGGTGCGGCGCGTGCGGATGTTGGCCGTGAGCGTGCCAAAGCGCGGGTGCGGGTTGATGATGGTGTCGCTAATGTACAGCGAGTTGGCGATCTTGCCGCGCTTGACGACGGGCGGTGTGATGTAGTCGCCGACGCCAAGTAGTGGGAAGGCCGTGACGGTCGGTGCAATCTCGTTGGGCTTGAGCACTGAGAGAAGTCGCGCACGGCGAAGACGCATGCTTTGCTCAACGCGGCGAAGGTCCGACGTAAAGCCACCGTATGGCACCCGGGGCGTGGCTTCGACCATCCACGCGCCGTACTCAGGCACCCAGTTGCATTCCTCTTCGGCATGGTCCGCGCGATGGAAGCGCTCTTCCTTGTCCATGAGCTCGCGCAAGATCTCCGAGCCTCGCAGCGAGAGGCGCACCGTCTTCTCGTCGTGGTCCAGCTCAAAGATGCCATACTCGAGCTCGTCGCCCCACTTCAAGACGTCGCCGCGGATGTCCTTGACGCGGTGGTACGTCTCAAGGAACTGGAGGATGCCATTGCGGCGGACGTGCTTGAGCCACTGGAGCGCGTCGTCCCAGGGCAGCGGCGTGCCCACGACAAGCAACCCCATGCTTGGCTCTTCAATTTGTCGAATGACCAAGGATTGCCCCACGGCGACGATGACGAATCTTGCGCGAATCCTGGGATATGATTGGCTAAAAAGCCAACGCTTTTGGACCGCCAAAGAAACTTCTTCAGCATTTTATTAAATGATACGCTCTATACACGGTGTTTGTATCGAAACGGCTGGTGCATTTTATTGCATCGCGACCGTAACCACCGCTTGTGGATCGCAATGCAGTCGAGGCTTCGACTAACTACAATAAGAACGTAGGGCAGCTACTCGAGAGAAGCTGCGTTGTCACTGGATACTTTAGTGTGTTGTAGCTGCGGGTAGGCCAGCGCGATGACTCTGGCGACGACAGCTCCTGACCTGTCGCACTGCATCTCCCATTCAATGGTGTTCCTCGGCCGCTGAGGCAAACCGTATGACTGCATCTCACAATTTGACTCATACTGTGCCAGCAACTGTGGGACGAGCCCAATCGCAAGCTGCTCCCACATACACGTCCCCAGACGGGCAAGGTTGACACTTGGCGCTTGATGTTGAGACGCCGAGCAAGTCCTCGTCGCATTGACGTTATTTGCGTCGGCCGGCGATAGATGCTACAGTACGGCAGGGGGGAAGGTTCGGCGCGAATCCCACCGAAGCCGGCACGGTGGACCTCCGAAGTCCGCGAGTAGCCAAGCGAAGGCAACAAAGAGACTACTATTACATGGACACGCAGCAACACTTGGAAAATAAATCAGCAGTGGAGGTCGGGCGCGCGTAGCTCCCGGATGTGCGCAGTGCACATGCCCTTGGACTTTTGCAGCTTCTTGCAGTCGGCCACGATGCACAGCTTGTCTTGGCGGTGCACCTCGCAGTAGCCGCCGCCGCGGTCTGTGCGCGTGCAGTCTTTGACGTGGCAACTCCGGAAGCCGCCGTGCGTGGCGCAAAAGCTGCCGCGCTGCGCGCCTTTGGAGCAACCGACCGCCTCGCAGCGCCGCCCACCGCCGTGCGACCGACAGTAGCCACGGCCTTGACTGCTCTTCATGCACCCGTCTGCCTTGCAGCGCGATCCGCCGCCGTGCGCTTTGCAGAGGCCTTGTGACTGGGCAGCGTTTGTGCACGCCTCGTGCTTGCAGCGCTTCCCGCCCCCGTGTCCGATGCAGTAGTCTCCGTTCTGCGCGCCCTTGCCGCAGCCGGCCATGATGCACTTGCGACCGCCGCCGTGGGCCTTGCAGAGGCCTTTCGACCGAATGCGCTTGGTGCAATGCGGCACGCGGCAGAGCCCGCGGGTCGAAGTCCCCGGCGTCAACGGCAGGAGTTGCTTGGGCGCGAGGGACGGGCCCTTGAGCGGTGGCATACTCGCTCTCGTCTTCTCGAGTGGGCTAAAGCTCAGCGTCGGGCGGAGCATGGTCGACGAAGCGGGCGGCGTAAACGCCTGAAATGACGACGGCAACAGGGGTGGGCGCGTCTCGACCGAGTCGAGCGAGATCGAGAAGTGGCTCGGTGGCGCCATCACCGCGTCGTCCTTGAAGAGCGTCGTGAGGAAGAGGATCTCGTCGTTGCTGAAGAGAGTCGACTGCATCGAAAGTTTAGAAATGACGTGCACGCGTGCGCATCGACCACGAAACCTGCTGGCCGGAGAACGCAGATGCAGAATGCGTCGACCAAAGATGGAGCGACTGCCGTCGTGTGTGACCAGCTGGGGACGCAGAACCAAGTGTCCTTCGGTGCCGACACCCCAGCCATCATCACTATTAGTAGGAAGAGCAGAGACAACGCTGGATACGACCGTGGCCGACCGTTCGGGGAACGTGGTTTGCAGGCGCCCAAGGACACAGTGCGTGGAAGAAGCCACGAAGCTCGTGGCGGCGCCTTCTTCGTATGGCGTCGCGTCCAGCCAGATCCTGTCTCTCCGACTCTTAATCGCTCGACCGCTCGTCGGCGACACCGCGCGCCGAGCCGCAAGCTTCGAGTCGGCGCGTGCATCTCGTGCAAAGAAGAGACTGCATGACGCGCCGGAATTATCACACGCGATCCTCAGGATCAGAGTGTATGCGACGACCACGACGCGTACCATGGAGGAGAGTGCGCGTTGGCAAGTACTGCTCTCAGTTGAACCCAGAAGTAACCCTTCGATAGCACCCCTACAGCTAACCTACGTAGGCTTACATGAGCGACGCGTTAGTGCTTTTGCTGCAACTCTGAAGAGTTCCAGGGTTAGGCTCGTGTGACGCCACAGCCGGGCGGAGGTGACAACCGACAAGTGGAGCCAGCGGCACGGCAGGGATAGCGACGTCCGGAGGCGCTTGCACGAACGTCGCTTGATAGGTACATGCGAGAATCAACACCTCGCCAACGACGGCCGAGCGCACCTCGAACACGGGCGCGGGAGCCAGCCCGTCGCTCCAGCTGCCACGTTTGAAGCGTATCTTTTTTTTAAATATATTATTCCTTTTAAATAGCGTCAACCATACGGTTAAACCGAAAGCTGTGGGACCGGCTGGGCGGAGCGTCGGAAAAAAGATCGAGCGGCCGACAATGACCGCCACAGCCGTGCGCCACCTCAAGTCGCTCGTCGGCGGCCGGGCCATCGAGGGCCGCGGCGCCTTGCGCTCGCTCGTAGACGCGCGCTCGGGCGTCGCCATCACGCAGTATCACGAACTCGAAGCGAGCCAGGTGCATGAGGCCGTCGAAAGCTCGGCGGCCGCACAGCCCGCGTGGGCAAGCTTGGCGCCGGCCACGCGCTCCGACATTTTGCGGCGCGCCGCGCATCTCATCTCAGAACAGAGCGCCGAGATCCAGAAGCTCGAGAGTCTCGACACGGGCCGCGTCATTGCCGAAATGGAGGGCGACATTGCAAGCGCGGTGGACTGCCTCCAGCACTTTGCCGGGATTGCGCCGACGTTTGGCGGCCAAATGCTCGACGTGCAGTCGCCGAATTGGGGCTACACGCGGCGCGAGCCATTTGGCGTCACGGCGGGCATTGGTGCATGGAACTACCCGCTCCAGAGCGCTGTACACGACGAGAGGCACACCCATGCGCTCACAAGTGGATGTGCTGTAGGCGTGGAAGAGTGCGTCTGCCCTTGCGTTTGGTAATTCGATGATCTTCAAGCCATCCGAAGAGACACCACTGACTGCGCTTCGGCTTGCTCAAATCTACCTCGACGCAGGTGTTGCATCCTACGTTCTTGGGTCATCTGCTCCACGCGCGACCTCATAGGTGTGCCGCCGGGCGTCTTCAACGTCGTCCTCGGTGCTGGGAGCGTCGGTGCTGCACTCGTTGCCCACGAGGCCGTGCGCAAAGTGTCGTTCACCGGCTCGGCAGCGACGGGCAAGCGCGTGTACGCCGCCTGCGCCGAAGGGCTCAAGCCCGCGACGATGGAGCTCGGCGGCAAGTCGGCGCTCATCGTCTTCGCCGACGCCAACGTCCACGACGCCGTCTCGGGCGCCATGCTCGGCAACTGGTTTTCCAACGGCCAAGTGTGTTCGAACGGCACGCGCGTCTTTGTGCAGCGCGAGATCCTCGAGCCGTTTGTCGCTTGCCTCGTCGAGCGCACGATGCGGCTGCGTATCGGCGACAACCTCGACCCGACCAGCGACATTGGCCCGATGATCCATGCCGCCCACCTCGCAAAGGTCGAGAGCTACATCACGCAGGGCCAGCTCGAGGGCGCGACCTTGCTCTACGGTGGCACGCGCGTCGGCGACGCTGGCGGCAACTACATTTTGCCCGCCATCTTTACCAACTGCACGGACGAGATGCGCATCGTCCAGGAAGAGATTTTCGGGATGGTCTGCGCGATTTTGCCGTTCGACTCGGAAGACGAGGTCGTGACGCGCGCGAATGCGTCGCCGCTCGGCCTCGCAGCCGGCGTGTTCACCAACGACCTCCGCCGCGCGCACCGCACGATCGCCAGCCTCGCCGTCGGCACGTCGTGGATCAACACGTACAACATTGCGCCCGTCGAGCTGCCGTGGGGCGGCTACAAGCAGTCGGGCATTGGCCGCGAGAACGGCATCGCGGGGGCACACGCGTGGACGCAGCTCAAGTCGATCTACGTCGAGATGGACAAGGTGCCGTGCCCGTACGCCTAAGCTCTGCTCTCTGCTATGTGTGAAGAAGATTGTGTATTGCAGCATGGAGAGACTAGCCTTGGGCTTGGAACCACGGGTGCTGTGTCGCAGCGGCCGCCGAGATGCGCTTGGCCGGCACCTTGGTGAGCGCACTCGTCAGCAAGTCCTTGGCTACACCACAGATGAGTGAGTGGAACGCGTTGAAACTTGTGTACCGAGCGTCGAGATGGAGCCCCAGAAGGCGTCGCCGTCCCAGTCGATCTCGGCGTGGAGGGTCTTCTGGATAATGTCTTGTTTGGTCTTGCCAAAGTACGGGAGCTCGCCGCGGAGAAGGAGGTACATGATGACGCCGAGCGACCAAATGTCGGCCTCCTTCCCGTACCCGCTCTGCGCAAGCACTTCGGGCGCGCAGTAGCTCAGTGTCCCACACGGCATGGTCATGATCTCGTGCGGGTGCGCGAGCTTCGAGAGCCCGAAGTCCGCAATGCGCAAGTCCGTGAGGTTGTCGCCGCAGAGGATGTTTTCTACGCGATCCGTTTGAAAGTATCAACATGTCAAGTTGATACCGGGTTTGATGTCGCGGTGCGCGATGCCCATCTTGTGCAAATACGCAACGCTCTCAAAGAGCGGCCGCATGACCGCTTTGGTCTCCTGCACCAAAGACACCACCATGCGCAACATGCCAGGGAAGACCGTGCGTACCGCCTCCGAGTGCCGGACGCGCCCGACAATCTTGGTGAAAAGCTCGCCGCCCGTGAGGAGCTCGGTGACGATGTAGATGTTTTGCTTGCTCTCAAAGACGTCCTAGCACCGCGTCACACGGTGTATCATCGCAGACAACACTACGTACATAGAGGCGGATGATGTGCTTGTGCTTGACGAGCCGCAGAATCGCAATCTCGGTGCGCAAAAGCTCCTTCTCCTGCGCGCCCAGTTGCGTCTTGTCCATGATCTTGACAGCGCACTTGACGTTCTTGGTCTATCCACACGCCATCTTTTCATACACATCAACATCCTGAGAGAGATGTATGTACGCGATGTGTGGCTTCGAGGACCCGGGAGAAGCGGCCGTGGCCGAGTTCGCGCCCGAGCGCATAGTACTCGTCGATCGAAAGCTTGCACGTGGCTTGCTTGAGGCTGGCCACCCACGCGTGGCACTCGTCCTTGGAGCGGGCATAGAGGTACCGCTTCTCGGTCTCATCGCCAGTCTCCGTGCTCATTTCAATCTCGAAAAAGCCCTGCTTCTCCATCGCGCTGTTGGCTTTGGCCTCGACGTACCGACCGGAGATGAAGATGACGCCTTTGGGGCGCGTGTCGTCTTGGGCCCTAATCCTCGATGAGTAGGGTTTAAGGTTGCGCTATTCTTTATACAAAAAATAGTAGAGAAAGTTGCCCTTGAGGAGGTAGTAGCGTTTCTTCATTTGCTTCAAGCGCGTGCCCTTCTTCCAGAGACATCCTTGGTGCACGACCTCGAGTACGGACGGCCGCTTGATACGGAGCTTCCCGAGACTCTTGATCGCGACCTTGTCGACTTCGGCGATCGCCTACAGTCACACATACTGAGCGGTCGCGACGATTGCAGTATGTGGTATGACAGCCTCGATGGCCGCCACGACAGACGGCGTCGACGTTGACTTCTTGGCCTGCAAGAGCGTCAGCGATGAAGAAACCTGTCGTGAGGTACCTCGAGAAGCAGCGCTTTCGTGTCCCGTTGTGCAGTGCTGGCCATTGCTATCAATGCATCTCGCGACGAACGAAGCGCGTACCGTTTGAACGAGTAGAGCTTCTCGGTGCGGACGATGACGGACGATGATGAGTTGCGACGCGTCATGGGCGGGACCTCCTTGACCGGTGGCAGTGGCGAGATCCTATAAGGCCCGTGCATAGGCTTGTAATGCAGTCGTGTGTACTCGGCGTGCTTGCTGCCAGTGCTCTTCTCGCTCGTCTCGACCGGAAGAATGCTCATGAGAAACTAGAAATGCGTGTCCAGGCGTGGGCGAGGCAAGGTTGGCCGACCTCAGAGACGAGTGGCGAGTCGTTGCACCACTTGAGGAACTCGGGGAACGCCATCGAGTCGCCTTTTGCGTGCGCGGAGAATGCCTCGTCGACGAGCTTCTCGACCGAGTCCGTCTCGTGCGCCCCGAGCTCAAACGCCGTGTCCTACGTGGCATCATTCGGTCCTTCAACTCGCATCAAGCGACGTCGCACCGTGGCCACTTCGCTCGCGGGCACGTTCGGATCCATCGAGAAGCCGCGGAGGAAGCACATGGCCGACTGAGGAAACTGGTGGATCATGGTGATCATGTCGCGCTTGGAGATCGCGCCGCGCCTAAGCCATGTCCATTTCATGCTCGCCCATTGTAGAGGTACGGCGACGTACTCGGTCACATCGTAGAGATCAAAGATGAACTTGAGCTTCTCTTCACGCGAACCGCTACGGACGAGTGAGCGCATTCGAGGCAGCGTCGTCGCGGATGTACCGGCAGAGCACGGCGAGACCAGCGACGAGCTCGTAGAACGAGATGGCACCCGACGCATTCTTGTCAAAGACTGCAAACAGCCGCTCTAAGAGGCTTCGTGAGCCAGCGACCAAAGGCTAGGCGCACCGCCGAGGAGGCCTGGCAGCGGGAAGATCTTGAGAAAGCTCGCCTTGTTGACGCCCGTCTCGCTCGACGCGTGCGTGATGCCCCGGTACATTTCGCGCATCACATGGATCTCGGGCTCCGTGAAGCGCGTCAGCGCGCGCTTCTCGGCTTCCGTCACGCGGCCCGTCCCGTCCGTGAGGTCGGCGCTGCTGTTGGCGTTGCCCATCTTGTGGTTTTCGCGAATGGTCCAATTTACGGGCCGAAACCGGCGACTATAACCGGCATGGCGGCGTGGGATCTGCGCGGCCTCGGGACCAAGTACCCGTGGCTGACCGTCAACGAGACGACGCTCGCCGACTTTCGCGAGCCCTTTGACTGGAGTCGCGACGAAGAAGACGTCCGGTCCAAGCCGCGGACCAATGCAGCGCGCGAGGCCGGTCGCAAGATGGTCCTGGCGCACAGCCGCGACAAGGTCACAGACGCCGTCGTTCTCAAGGAACTGCCCACGCGCAATCGACCAAAAGCGGCGATCGACAGCCTCGACGCGATCGTGCACGAGACAAAGGCGCTCGTGGTTGCCAAGCCCTGGCAGGCGCCAGTGATCGCGCACACCCGCCAGAAACGACAGCCGCCGCCGACCACGACCATGTATGTCACACTAACGCCGAGCAAACGAAGGCCAATACCACACATATAGCAAGGCACCGCGAAAGGAAGCGCCGCGCTTGCCGACGACGCAGCGCCTGAACGCTGCGCGGCGGGTCGCCGAGGACGACGAGAGCCATCTGCGGGTAGATGCCCTTGCGTTGCGGCGCGCACTCATGTGATGGCTAGGCGCTGCTGGCGCAGCAGATCGAAGCGCAGCGCGCGACGCTGCCGCTCACGTTTCTCTTTGAGCGCAACATGACCGAGTACTGCAAAGCCAAAGGTGTCGCGACGATCATGGCCGTCTTCTCCAAGCTCCAGGTGCTGGGCGCAACGCAAAGCCTTCTCAGCGTCTCTGCGTGCTAGAACAAGTACCTCGACGAAGGTCTGCGACGCTGGAAGCACCACACGTAGGCCGTACCGACGAGAGAAGTTTGCACAACCTGCCGTAGAACCTCGCGGCGCGCCGCCGACACCAAGGCCAGAGTCCAAGCCCAGATGCAGGCGCGGGCCGTTCAGCTGTTTCAGCGCGTCGCGGGCGGCTGCTTGCTCGGGAACCTCCGCACCGCGTACACAAGGTCCTCCTTCACTGCGTAGTCGAAGTGTCACAGCGTCGGCGTAGGTGGGTCGACACGACGCATGCGCTCGTGGCTGCTCAGCGGAACCGCGCCGCCATCCGCATTCAAGTGCATGTCAAACGACGGCGGTGCGTCGATGACGCGACAGTCGCTGGCTCATGCTTATCACAGCGACATGGCCGTCCTCGCACAGCTCAAGCTCGCCCGCGATGCCCGCAAAGCGCGCAACACACAGCTCGTTTTGGACGTACGCCCCGCTTGTGGGTTGGCAAAGAGGACTCAAAACGCGGTAGCTCTTGCTGTTCGAAGCCACGGGCTACGCGCAATTGTGGATGATCCGCCGCCAAGCCACCGCGATCCGCGACCGACAGGCCATCGAAGCACAGCTCCACGCCGCATGCGCCGTCGCCATCCAGCGCCGGTACCGCGGCCACCGCGCGCGCCACTTTGTGCACGAGCTGCGCATCGCCCGCCACGAGGCCGAGCGCGCACGCGTCCAGGCCGAGCTCATGTACCTCGCCACCTTACGCGCCGCCGCCATTGTCATCCAGTGCGCCGTACGGGTCTTCCTGGCCAAGATTGCGCTCTACGACGCCCGCATGCGCGCACGCATTCGCAGCGAGAACGCTCTCCTCATCCAAGTACGTCCATGTACGACCACAGCGCGCTTAGCATTGCACGTGATTAGCGTGCGTGGCGCACGAGCAAAGGCCAGAAAGTGCTGGCAACGCGGTTCGCCAAGCGGCAGTTGACGCTCGCCGTAGCCTCGCTGTGCATCGCCGTCGCCTGACGACACTGTAGGAGCAAGCGGAGAGGGAACGCTACATGGCCAAGCAGCGGCTCTTGGCTGAGATTGAAGTGAGGCGGCAGGCGGCAGCCACCACGATCCAGCGTCGCGCGCGGGGTATCTTGGGCCGACGCCGTGCGCAGAGCCGGCGCTACGAGATCGCACTCGACGCAGCGGCGCGGCGGGTCCAAGCTTCGTGGCGCAAGTCCACAGGCCGGTACGACACCATATTTGTCACAATTATCTGACATTTTGTTTAGGTTTGCTCTGCATTTGCGGTTCTTGGCCCAGAAAGAGCGGCTCGCAGCCCGTCGCCTCGATGCTGCCGTCTGCATTCAATGCGCGTTTCGGTGCTTCTACGCCACGCAGCGCGTTCGTATCTTGCGCCGTGAGCGACAGGCGCGACTCGATGAAGCCGCGCGGCAAGTGGCGTGGGCGCGCAAGCAAGTCGAGAGTGCGCTGCGGATCCAGTGCCTCTACCGCGGCTACAAAGTGCGAGCAAAAGTCGCCGCTTGGCATGCGGCCGCCACGTCGATACAGTGCATGGTGCGACAACACTTTGCCCGTGCGGTACGACGTACTCGCGAGATCGAACTGCGTCAACTCCAAGCCCGGCAACACGCAGCGGCCGTCACGATCCAGCGGATCCAGCGGGGGCGCAAGGGACGGCGCCGCGCGAAAGCTGAAGCCGAGGCCCAGCGCCGTGCGGCCGAGCAGCGCCAGCAGTCGGCCAGTCGCATCCAAAGCCGGTACTGTCTTTACCATAGCGAAAGCGTTCTACAGGTGCGTAGGCTGCGTGGCAACCAGTCGCGAACGGCACTGCGGACGCTACACCGGGCGCAGCAAGTGGTGCTCGCGCAGCAGCGACGCACGACAAGCCGTGCGCCGTCGCCACTCGCAAAGCTTCTCAGCAGCTTGCCGCTCTCGGCGCTGACGTTGACTCACGTCGCCGCCATTGACGACGGCATTACAGCTGCAACGCTTGCGATGCAGCGCGAAGACCGCGCCGTGACGCGAATCCAGTGTCTCTACCGTGGCCGCAACGGGCGCTTCGCCTACCACCTCCTCCTTGAGGTCGGGCGTCGTTGCTCGAACCATTCTCACGGTGCGTAGGCTAAATACCGGCGGGACCTCTTGGAGGCAGCGAGCGCTACCCAGATCCAGCGTCGGGTTCGTGGTCGCATGGGCCGCGCTCTCGTTGCCAAGGTTCGAGCGCGCAAGCAGCACCACGTACGAGAAGCATAAGGAGAAGACAGAGGCGTCTCACCCAAAAATGACAGGAGACGGCGCTCGCGTACAAGCGGTCGCTGGCGGCGCGTGAAGCCAAAGAAAAGTGGCTCATGGACGTCGACATGGAGAAATTCCGCGCCCAAGTCGAGAAGGAGCGCGCGCTCGAACACGCGCTGCGCATCGCCCGCGCCGAAGCCGACCTCGCGCGCGTCCAAGCCGAAGCGCTTGAGCTCCAGAAGCGCATTGCCGACACCAACGTACGTGCTCTTGAAGCGACGTCATTGACGTTGAGCTAGAAACAACTGGCCGATGAGAAAGCGAGCGCGTGGGACGAAGTGACCGACAGCTACGGCTACGTCTACTACAGCAACCGACTCACAGGCGAGACGTCGTGGGAGATTCCTAGCCGAGCGGCCAAGAAGGCAAAAGTCGCAGACGGCGCACCGCCCAAGACCCCGGACGCGTGGGAAGAGCTGTACAACCCCAACACGGGCCAAATGTACTTCCACAACCGCGCGACAGGCGAGACAAAGTGGACACCGACGGACGACGCACCACCCGTTGGTGACGCGGCATCGATAGCCCCACCCAAGGAGCCCGAGCCTGCCTCGAGGCCGTCGACACCCGCCGCTCGCCTTGCCACGCCCAAGCCAGCTACCCCCAAGCCTGCCACACCGTCCGTACCGGAGGTTGCCAAGCGTCTCTGCTGGTGCTGCAAGAAGGCCAGCGCGGTGAAAGAGTGCGTGCACTGCCCCACCCCCAACGTCGCGTACTGTTCGTCGTGCTTCGCCAAGGAGCATCGAGCCGAGACCAAGCGCGCACACGACTTCAAGCCGCTTCTCGCTGACGGCACGCGCGAGGTATGAGCCGTCCATGGCTGCTGCTCGCTTACCATCGAGCGTAGCATGCAAAGTGCCAACACTGCGACGCCTTGGCCACGTACCATTGCCCAGCGTGCGACGCCGGCACCCGCTTCAGCTGCGACGATTGCTTTCAGCTGCGGCACGCGACGGCAGAAAGGCTCACGCACAAGCCGCTGCACTTTAGCTCCAGCGCGTCGCTGTGCTCGCACTGCGTAGCGAGCGAGCGCTGCGTCGCGCAGCGCATCTGCCACGACTGCCACGACAAATTTTGTCCCGACTGCGCCGCGGCGGTCCATGCCTCTGGGAAGAAGAAACTCCATCACATTGAGCTTCTCAATGTGCTCAAGGTGGACTTGGCGCCGCTCGAGACGTACTGCATCCGGTGCGACGTTGATGTCGCTGTCCGTTTCTGCAACCTCTGCGGCGACAACTTTTGTGTCGCGTGCTACGAGACGGAGCACGCAAGGGGGCGCAAGGCCGAACACACGTACATTCTCTGCAGCGACGCGGCGACGGCCGGGGACTGGGTCGAGATTTTCGACGAAAAGAGGGGCGGGCACCTCTACTACAACCTCGTGACCAAAGAAACAGTTGAGGCCAAGCCATCGGTGCTGCTGCTGGGACTCGAGCGCCACCGCGACGGCATCGCAGAGAGTCTTCGCGAGAAGAAGAAGAAGGAGGTCGAGCGCGAGAGTGAGCTTGTCGCACTCCGGGAGACCGTCAAGGCGCTTCAAGAAGAGAAGGAACTCGAGCGCCGGTACCGCGAACAGCAAGCGATCCTCGAAGACGACCCGGAACTGCTCACGACCAAGCCGAAAAAAGCGTGGTGGAAGTCCAAGGCGCAAGTCGAGAAGGAAAAGAAGGAGCGCGAAGACAAGGTCGTCATGGCCCTCCTCGTGACCAACCAGCGCAAAGCCAAGATGCACCAAGAGGCCATGGAGATGGGTTCGTCGACGTACGCGACCGCGATCCTCGACAGCGTCATTCAGCCCACGTAGAGCACTTGACTCAGTTTTGATCCACGTAGTTAGGCGTTTGTGTCGTACTATGAGCCGCCTCGCGTGAGGTAGCTATTATCAAGAGCATCGATTTTCCCTTGCGATCCAGTTGACGTGTCGAGATAAGGTAGGAATCCTGCTATACTATTCGAGTGATTTGATTCTGAGTGAAGTGACGGGTGTCACTTGAGCTTGGTGCGGCGGCAAATCAGAGCTACAGAGGGCCATGAGTCCACCGCCGAGAGCGCGGTAGCCTACGCGACGCCGTAGTTTGCGACGGCGGCTTGGTGGGCTTGGGTGGTGATACGACCTGTCGAGCATCCGAGCATTGACATTTGTGTCGGTGACGCTAAGAAGAACGTACCCGTATGACCTGACACGCACGCGTCGGCGGTGAAAACTCCTACGACAACCCGTGCTCCTCGAATAAGACGACATACAGTGACGTACCTGCACAATGTACTGCGGATGGCTGCGCTGTGGCTGCTTGCGGGTCACAGGAATCGGCTGCGTCTGTCGGTCTTGGATCTTGGTCTAGGAACAAAACTCAGCCATGGATCCAGGCACGCAGTCGTACTTCCTTGGGCTTCCACAGGGTTGTCGGAGAGGTGCCCACCGCCATCGACGGGTTGCAGGTGGCCTGTCTCGAGGTTGCTCGCTTTCCAGCACTGCTGGCGCACGACTGGGCCGTAGCGGGACGGGTTTCGCTACGAACCAGTAGGCGCCATGAGCTCGGTCTAAGCACATACCAATCTTTGGCGTTCGCGACAGGAGCGGTAATGGCTACACGTGTGTTGTACGTGTCGTTGGTAGTGTGTCAAAACGTACCTGGCATCTCGGCCGACCGCGCAGACGAAGGCCGACTGTCTTCATCCCGAGACGGGTGTCGTACCTTGACGCCTGGCATCGGCACGAGGCACTCGACCGAGTGCACTGCGTTCTCCGGTATTCGCTACAACCGCGACCTCGCACGTGCAATGGCAGAGAATGAGCCAACCATGTGCGTGTTTTCCTTGAAGCTCCGCCGCTCCGCGATACTTTGCACCGACATGGACGACCGGGCGCCGTCCTGCCAGCCCGTCGCCGGGTCGTGTTGCCGCGTCGGCTGGCGGCGCCGACTTGACGCGCGCGGCTCGCCAATGTCAGAGACATTGAATTCAATGAGCACGGCGTCGTCCGCGGGGTCGATGGCCTCTGGCGCCATCGTGCAGGACAGAGTACTAGGACGTTTTTTCTTCTTTGGGGCCGGCACTCGGTGCCGCTCGGGTGCTGGCTTGAGGGGCACTTCGTCTTCCGGTGGCGTCGCCGCTTCTCGTAGCAGTCGAAGAAGCGCCTGCCGCCGGCTGGCTTCGGCCAACCGGACGTCTGCGGGGCACTCGGGCTCGGGCACTTGCACGACCTGCGCTTCCTTGACGAGGCGCTTCTTGTTGGGACTCGAGGACTGCCTTCGAGGCGACGTCGCACTAGACGACCCAACCGAATGCGTCTCGATCACGTTCTATACACGCCACTTAGACCACGACGAACGGGGCGACGAGATTACGGCGGCGGGTGGTGCAGCAAACACGACGTCTCCTGGCTCGGTGTTGTGCTGACTGGCTGCCGTGCTCGCTCGCGATGGACTAGCCGCCCAAGATACATCCAGCGTCGAGCACCACAGTCGGTGTACCTCAGTGGCCCGTGCTTACTGGCGGTCATGGGTTTCATTGGCGTCATCTTGCGCGCCCATAGGTCCACGTCCTGCGGGCGACCTTCGTCGGCGTTGACGCCGCCATCGTAGAAAGCGCACTGATTCCGCCAAGCGAGCTCAATGACCGACGCCAGCTCAAGGACGACGCCGCCGATGCGCTGCGCCGTGTAGCTGAAGAGGCGGCGGTTTAAATAGTTGTCATACACGATCGCAGCGCCGGCCGTGACGATGGCAGCAACGGCGTCGGCAGCGGCGTCGTCGGCCATCTCGGTCGCCGTCACCAGCGTCGGCGGCTGCACGGGCGGCGGGTCCACCGGCGCCGGCGCCCGCGTCGAGGCCCTTTCGCCGTTTCGCATCGCGAAGTCGTCTTTGCCAGCGAGGGGTTTCGCATTTCCCACATATGCCACATGACACGCATGTGGGAAACCGACGTGGGATAGGTGGGATAAAAATTGGGCGAGCACTCTCGCTGGAGAGGCGCGGTCGGCGGCCGCATCGCACAAAAATATGAAGTCGCTCCAACTTAGCTCATCCAGAGAGGTTACTCTAGGAAGCATTTTGCGCTATGCCACGTCGGCGAATGCGGCGTACAGCCCGCGCAATTACCCTGGCAACTCAATATGGTACATGCCATATTTAGACACATATAACCAGAATTAGTCGCCTGTCGCGCAAGCGTGTCAAAACGCTGGTCGGCCCAAGGTAGACATGGCTTGAGACACCTGACGACACGCGGACCTTTCTTACGAGTCGATGCCATTATATAAGAGCGGCTGCGCTGTGGGCTCGCGAGAGATTTGCGCGACCGCAGCATGGCCCAGGCGAAGCCATCTGGTCGGGTGGCTAAATTTTTGGCTCTCTCGCACTCCAGCAATCTTCGACGCGATGCTCGAAGTGCCCGTGTGGATCCCGATTCTCGCGTTCGCCGTCGGCCTTGGCCTTGGCCTGCTCATCCCGCACCTCCAGAAGCCGTTCCAGCGCTTCTCGACCGTCAATGATATCCCGAAAGAGTTCTTTGAGCAAGAGCGCACGCTACGCGGCAAAGTCGTCTCGGTCACGGACGGCGACACGATTCGCGTCCGACACATGCCGTGGCTCGCCAAGTACACTCGCGGTCGCGGCCTCCTCGCACTCATATCTCTCGATGCTACTAGTGGCGATGGCGACTTTAAGGGCAAGCTCACCGAGACCACCTTGCAGCTGCGCGTCGCGGGCGTCGGTACATGTCCTGCATCCATCCGAGAGTGCACTCATCCTACCTGCCCAGATTGCCCGGAGACGGCCAAGTTTGGGCGCACCGGGCAGCCGTTTGGCGAAGAGGCCAAGGCGTGGCTAAAGGGCGAGCTGCAAGACCAAGTCGTGAGCTTCAAGCTGCTCATGAAGGACCAGTACAGCCGCGCAGGTGCGATGCCATCCACAGCGCCTTCTGACGATGACTATGTAGTTTGTATGGTCTACTACGGGTCGTGGGCGTCGCCGACGAATGTCTCGGAGGAGCTCCTGCGCCAAGGCTATGCCAACATTTACCGCCAGAGCGGTGCTGTCTACGGCGGTCTCCTTGAGACCTTTGAGGCGCTCGAGGCAGAGGCCCGCGAGAAGCGTGTCCATATCTGGAGCCTCGACAAGCGCGAGACGCCAGCACAGTACAAGGCCCGCAAGTAGACGAGTCATTTTGACACTTTCAGATTTCGATTCAAAACCTCTCGAAAAAATCACAAAATACAACAATCGCATAACCCAATTGCCGACGATTCACTGCCGATTCAAGTCGCACAACACAAAACTCGCATCGGAGAGCATTTCCTGCATGTCGGCCTCGACAGCGTCGCGAATCGAGAGTTCCGTGGCGGACAGCGGGCCCTGCGACACCCGCCCAACGTCGCCAGTGAGCCCTGCCCCTATAGGCGCCAGCCCGTCAAAGTACGAGTTGGCCCACTTGGTGCGCGGTCGCTGCGCTGTTTCCAGTGCTCGCTGTGGCGATCGTCGCGGCTCGGTGCTGTGCTCTTCGAGTGCACTCACGAGCTCAAAGAGCGAGAGCTCGTAGAACCTATGGGCGCCGTTTGTCACCACAGTATCAAGTCGATAGATCGATACTCGCTGTCGACGAGCGAGGGTGGCAGCACGGGCGTCTGTTTCTTGTAGAGGTGCTCTTGGCGCAAGCAAGGTTCGTCGTCCTCAGTGTTGCACCCAATCTATATGCAAAGCACGACGTGGACAAAGCCATGTACGCGTCAATTTGGACCTCGCGAAGCAGGCCGCGGGCCTCCCACTGCGTCCCGACATCTTGGCGGCTGGCCGCGCCAAAGAGCCGGTGGGCGACCTTCTCGGGGGACCCTGGCGTCAAAAGCGCGTCCTCGAGTCGGCTTTTCCACATGTGCACGATGCGCTGGACGTTGGCGTCTGGCGTCGACGTGGTGTTGAGCAGCGAAGAGAGGTCGATCGAGTGCTCGAGGGAGTGATGCAAGCGCTCCTGTTCCTGGGGTCCACGCGTGAGCCGCGCAGTCGGCATGGTCGAGAACCACCTCTTCCATCGTGCCCAGCATCTTGGTCATTGTGTCGTACTGTGACGCGATCTCTCGGTGCTTGCTTTTCTCGAGCTCGAGCTCCTGACGCGCCGCGTCAAGGTCGAGTCGCAGTTGCTGCGCTGCGTGGCGGTGGCTGGCCTCGACGTGCGCACTCGCGTCGCCGTGGCGAGCGATCTCCTCTTTGAAGGCAGCCATATCGGCCTACTCGATCACTGCAGTCATCGTAGCGTCATCCTCGAGCGTACGTGGCAGCGGTCGAGGGCGTCCAGCGCGTGTTCGAGCTGCAGCTGCTCGCGCTCGGATTTTTTCTGCAAACCCTGCACGCGGCTTTGGTAGGTCTGGATCACCTCGAGCGCTTGGTTGAGCTTCGACTCGAGGTCTAAAGAAGCAGCGTCCAAGTGCCATGGACAGGGCTATCGGGCAAGCTACCTTGGTGGCGATGCTGGAGGTCGGCGTGCTTGGCCGAGAGGTCCTGGAGCTCACAGCGCTTGGCGTCGTTTTCGCCGCTTACTTTGATGAGCTGGCGCACGAGCTTCCCGACCTTGTGCTTGTCTTCGCTGCAGAGATCGCCGATGCGCACGGGGGCGATGGCCACGCGCGCCGTTGCTTCCGGGTGCGCGGCCGAGACGGTCTGCCGCAGCTGCTTCCACTGGGACGCGGCTGTCGCCGAGAACGGGATCTCGACCTTGCGCAGCTTCTTCACCTTCGCGTCGTCCATCTTGGTCGGCGCCCGGCCTTGGCTCCAGCGCGGCTTGTCCATGCCGCAGGTCGTCGGATCGCAAATCTTCCAGAGCAAACCACACCGCTATATAGTGTCAATAAAAAATACTGTGCTGCTCTGTGTTACCAACCCTCTTACCGCGATTACATGAACATGCAGCGCATTAGCACCAAGGCGGGCAAGGCCGCCTGCAAGAGGTGACGTGGCGCCACGATGCTGCAGCTCCGTTGAGTGGCGCAAGGCTCCGCGACGAACGCATGGCGGCGAGCCTCGGGTCGCTCGTCTCGGAGCCTGACCTACTGCTTGTAGCATTGGGCGAGGTCGTCGTGCACTTCGTCGTGCATGCGAGGATGGGGTCCAAGCCCGTGGGCTGAAGCCGCAATCTGTTGCAGGTTGCTCTGTAGAGACAATGGTACTGCACGTGGAAGACGCCAAGGACGGGTGCACAGTGATGGCCTCGGACTAGCACACAGCAGCCCTGCTCTACACTCGGACAAGCTTTCGCTGTGGTGCTGGGTCCCGTAGCGTGCTTGAACAGCCCCTTCAGGCGACAGCGTCGCGCGACGAGGAGGGTGGGCAGTAGTACACTATTTGGGTGCGGATGCATCCGGATAACCGAGGCCGTTTGATGTTGACGCCTTCACTTTCCGTTCGACCTCTTGGGGCTTAGACGACACCAACTGCGATGAGCTCGACCGCTGCTGCCCCGCCCGCGCCGACGCCGACGATCAACGCGACTTCGAGCATCCTCGAGAAGGTCCCTCGCCTCATGGATGAGCTGCCCAAGCACGCCAAGCCGGCTGCTCTGGCGGACAAGGTGCTCGGCTATGGTACCGCGGGCTTCCGCGACAACGCCGACATCCTCGGCTCGACGTTCCACCGCATGGGCATGCTCGCAGTCCTCCGCTCCAAGAAGGAGCACAAGATCACGGGCCTCATGGTCACCGCCTCGCACAACGCGGCGCCTGACAACGGCGTCAAGCTCGTCGACGCGGACGGCGGTATGCTCGCGCAGTCGTGGGAAAAGTACGCGATGCAGCTCGCGAACGCCAACACGGACAAGGTGGTCGAGGTGCTCGACAGCATCGTCCGCGCCGAGAAGATCGACTTGGATACGACCGGCAACATCTTTATTGCCAAGGATACGCGCGTCTCGAGCGAGGTACTCTCTTGGTCTCCATCTAGACTGCGTGACTCACCGGCTGCATGTCATAGCACTTGTCGGAACTCGCGCGCGAGGGCGCGCTCCTCCTTGGCGGCAATGTCTTGGATTTTGGTCTGCAGACGACGCCGCAGCTCCACCACTACATCCGCATGGTATGTTTCATACGACCCAGAAGCGCGACGCCCAACGCGGTGCGGTGTAGTGGAACCACGAGCAGTACAACAAGGGCGACTGGGCTTCCGAGACCGGCTACTACAACATGCTTGTTGATGCGTTCAAGCAGCTCACGACCGGCGTCGACCCCAAGGTACCGCCGTCGTCCTCGAGCTCGCATCGACTCATATGATCACCATGGGAATAGAAGCTCGAACTGCGCACGCCGCTGTACGTTGACTGCGCGCACGGCGTCGGTGCCCTCCAGCTCACCAAGCTCGCCAAGGAGCTCGGCGACATGCTCCACGTCGAAATCCGCAACACGCCCGAAGACGGTGTTCTCAACCACGAATGCGGCGCTGAACACGCCCAGAAGGCGCGCAAGCACCCCGCCGGCTTTTCCCGCGACGCAGACCGGTACGTTTAGCATTTGTCCTTCCATGCGAGCGACTGACGTGGAAATGCAGCGGCAAGCGCGCGTGCAGCCTCGACGGTGACGCCGACCGCATCGTGTTTCACTACTTTGACGACGCTGGCGAGTGGCACTTGCTCGACGGTGACAAGATTGCGTGTCTCTTTGCGGGCTTCTTTGCCGAGAAGCTCAAGGCGCTCGATCTGACGCACGAGGTGTCGCTCGGCGTCGTTCAGACTGCGTACGCCAACGGCGCGGCCAACGCGTACCTCGCGTCGCAGAACGTCCAGGTCGTCATGGCCAAGACAGGCGTCAAGTTTTGCCACCACAAGGCGCTCGACTACGACATTGGCATCTACTTTGAGGCCAACGGCCACGGCACGGTCATGATCAAGGACAGCGTCATGGACCGCCTCCACCGCCTCGAGGGCTCGGTCTCGGACGAGAAGAAGAAGCACGCGCTCTCGCACCTCCTTGCCGCGTACCAGCTCATCAACCAGGCGGTCGGCGATGCGCTCAGCGACCTCCTCTTCACCGAAGTGCTCTTGATCCAGCGCGACTGGTCGATTACGCAGTGGGATGGCATCTACAGTGACCTTCCGAGCCGCCAGACCAAGGTCAAGATCGCGGACCGCACGATCGTCAAGTGCACGGAAGACGAGACGCAGGCGACGGCGCCCGAGGCGCTCAAGGACGCGATTTCAGCGCTCGTGGCCGCTGCCGGGCCGAGTGCCCGCGCCTTTGTGCGACCGTCGGGCACGGAGGACGCAGTCCGTGTGTACGCCGAGGCGGCGACGCAGGACGGCGCGGACGCCCTTGCGCTCAAGGTGGCGCAGGCCGTCCACGAACACGCGGGTGGCGTCGGTGACATGCCGTCGACCTTTGTCGCGTAAGAGGTTAATATGATGAATCTGCCTGTTGAAATGCGTCGAAGATACGACGCAATAGCGCAGTAGGATTAAATAAGGTACGAGGACTAGCAGAGCGTATTGCGAGCGTCCAAGTTCCACTCGAAGACGTCCGAGTAGATGGCAACGTCGTCGTCCACCTCGTCGTCCGTCTCGAGGTTCTCGAGGAGGAAGCTCTCGACGAGGAAGCTCGAGGTCGCCGAGGTCGCCGCAAAGCTCACGGCGCTCGTGTTGGAGAGCGGGTCTTTGGCGACGCGCCGCGTAGCTTCGTGCGCGATCATCTGCTTCTCACGCTCGATCTCCATGCGGGCGTCCGAGACGGCCTCGGCCACGTGCTTGTCGACAAAGTTCTACGCAGCATGAGCGACGGAAGGTATGTAGATACGACGACCTTTTCCGCTTCCTTGCGGGCGAGGACCGGGTCGAGGTCGATGCCCTTCTCAGCGTAGTACTGTTGGCAGAGCACGAGCGAGTCGGAGAGCATCTTCTTCTTGCCAATGCGCTTGAGGAGCCACTCGCGCGCCGCGAGCTTGGCTTCGTTCGCCACGAGCTGCAGTGTCGACTTCTCCTCGTCTTTGAGGCGCAGCCACCACAACTGCTCCTTCTTGACGACCTTAGTGGCATTCGTACTCGTCGACGGTGCGTGCTCGACGAGTTCGTCCGGCGAGCGCACGGTCGAAGCGGTTTCGATCCACTTCTTGAGTGGCAGCGCCGTCTTGCTCGACGACGACAGCGGCATGGGCGGTGGTGGCAGCACCGGCGCCGCGTCCGCCGTCAGCGACAAGCGCGTGATGCTAAACTCGTTCTTGGAGCCAATGCTGCCTTGCGTTCGGTACGTGGGCCGCAAGACGTCGCCGGGCACTTGGTCAGACGCAAAGCACTCGCTCGCGTCGGCAATCTGCTGGAGCACGTCGGGACGCGCATATGCACGTACGTCGTCGAGAAGCGTATGCGCGATCGACGGGCTCAGCGCCTCCATGGCAGCTCCCAGCTCGGCGAGGCCGTGGCGCGTGCCCGGCACCACCGCGCGCGTGTTGGCGCCAAGCTTGACGAGTGCGTCGAACGCGCTGTCGTTGTTGGCGCAAAGCGCAACCATGAGCGGCGTGCGCCCGTCCTCGGTGCGCGCATTCATGTCGACGCCGAGCCGCGCCATCGTATACACGATCGTCGACGACGCGCCGTGGGCGACGGCCACGTGGAGCGGCGCATCGCCATGCTCGTCCCAGCCTTCGGCGTACGCGCCTTGCACCAAGAGCTCTGCAATCACGGCGGCATTGGCGTCCGGCGACTGGCAGGCGAGGTGCAAGGCGGACGCTTGGTCCCGGCGCACGGCGTCGCGGACAAAAGCGGCGCCGTCGTCCTCGATCCCACTGCCCAACACGCGCAGCAAGTCGAGCGCGTTCTCGACCGCGCCGGCTTCGATCGCCACGTGCAGCGGCGTCTCGTCAAACCCGATCGTGACGCCGAGCGTGTCACGGAAGCGGCAGTGCTTGATGTGCAAAAGCAGCCAGCGCAGAATGTGGTTGGTCGAGGCACCGCCGCGCGCGGCCGCGTGCAATGGCGTGAACGCGTCGACTTGGTGGTCGGTGATGCAGTCGTCGCTGTTGAACAAGTGAAAGATCGGCTCGCCGGGCGCCATGGGATCTATGGCCAAGTACAGTCATAGATGCTCGACCCAGCAGCATTTTTCTACCTCGTTCGGTGCGCAAGACGACGAGGCTAGGCGGCACGCGCTTGAGCAGCCCGAGAAGAAGTCCTTCGAGCGCACGCTGCACAAAAAAGTGGCTTTGGAGATCGTACGACGGCGCGGCCCAGTCGCCCGTGAGCAGCGTCGAGAGGTCGCCGTCGCTTTTCGATTTCACGCGCGCTTGGCGCGTCTTCTTGTACTTTTGCGACTTGGGCTCGAGGTACTCGAGCCAGACGCGGATCTTCATGGCGTAATGCAGCGGCGACTCGTTCGTCCGAAGGTGCTGGACGTGCACGACCTCGGGCGAGAGGTCCAGGAGCAGACACGCGAGCTCGAGCTGCCCGGCCTTGAGCGCGAGACCGACGACGCTGTCGCCGACGTGGCGGTCGGTCCACTCGAGCTCGCCCAAATCGCCCGAGACCACGTGGAGGAGCTCGTAGACGAGCGCGTACATGCCATAGCGCAGCGCGAGCGAGAGCGGCGACGACCCGACGCCGTCCAGCGTCAACCACGACGCTCCGTGCAGCACAAGTGCGCGCGCCGCGGCCGGCAAGCCCGTTTTGATCGCTACGTGCAGCGGGGTGTCAGTGGGCGTCACGGGCGACCTGACAAGCGTCGCGCCCCAGTCGCTCACGGCATCGGGTTGGGCGCCGGCCGCCAAGAGCTCTTGGACGACCGCCTCGTTGCGGCATTTGATGGCGAGTGTGAGCGGTGTATCGGCGCCGTCGTCGTCGCGCAGCTCGAGGCCGTCGACGTCCTTCTTCTTGCTGCTGTTGCGCTTTGTCTTGCAGAGCTGAATGAGACGCGCGACAATCTTGATGGGCGCGTGGAGCCGAATCGCCAAGTGCAGCACGGAAAAGCCCTACATCACCATCAGCAAATCGCCTTATCGAAGACGAAGATGCAACGTACGCTGCTGTCGCTGCAGCCGGTCGACGACGACACCATTGCCAAGAGGTGGTCCAAAAGCTTCCACATGCGGGCTTTGAGCGCCATGTGCAACAGCGACTCGCCCCCTGCGTCGGCCTGATGAAGCCACGGATGCTCCGTCGTGTGCTTGGCGATGGCCTTCAAGAGGAGACACGCAATGCGCTCCGCGTCGTCGTCTTTGTCTTGCTCATGGATGCGCTTGACGGCGACATGGAGCACCGAGTCGCCCGCTGCGTTGACGTGTTGCAAGGCGCGCGCCAAGTCGGCGGCGGTCGCATGTCGTACAAACCGCTCCACGCTTGCCACGTCACGGACGAGGCAGAGGTACTGGAGGAGCGACCAGTGGGCTGCATCGTCGCCGGCCGTCCACAGTGGCAACTTGTGCCGGAGAAAGAAATCGAGGACGTTCGTGCTCACCGGCGTCTTGCGTAAAAAGAAGTGCGACGCGAACGCCCAGCGCAAGAGCGCGTCCGGGCGCGCGCCGGCTTTGAGAAGTATGGCGACGCGCGTCTCGGGGCTGCTCTTCTTGTCGAGGCCATCGAGGACAAACGCCGCGCAGAGCGGTACGACGGGGAAGGAGACGAGGCCCACCTTCTGCAGCGACGGTAGTAGCCGCATGGCGTCGTTGAGGCGCGCGCCGGCCGTCACAAACTTCGCGAGCTCGGCCGGCGGCTGCCCCGTGTCGAGGACGTGGAAGAGACAGTGGGTTGCGATCTCGGCCACCTACAGCAGCGGACGATACGACGGTGTACGCATGATGAACGGGCGTACGCAGTGTGTGAGCGACTCGGCCGAGTGGCACGAGAGTGTGACGTTGCGCCCGTCCTTTGTGCGCACGATGAACGTGTGGCCGCTGCCCGTGCTGAGCGCGTCGATGTGGTCGAGGCAAATCGACTTGCTCGCTTTCGGCTTTGGCTTTGTCTTGTCGGCCTTCTTGAAGATGTCGAGGATGCCATCCTTGAGCACGAGGATGCGTGGCCGCTGCGAGCCGCCTAGCCACTGCCGCGACCGCTTGCTCACGTCCATGTGAAACTCGTTGGAGCGTTGAATCTCAAACTGAAACTCGTGCCACTCGTTCTTGGCGCTCGGCAGTGCGACGCGCGGTGGTGCGCTCGCCCGCGGCGGCGGCAGCGACATCTGCACACTACCCTCAAGCGCATACGGGTCGCACGCGTCGAGGCGCTGCGCGATCATCGTCGGCAGTAGCAGCGTCGCCTTGAGCTCCATAAAGGTGATGTACTGGTGCGAGACCGGTGGGTCCGACTCGTACGTCATGTGCACGGGCGGCTCCATGCGCATGTCCTGTATGGTCTCGAGCACGTGGCGCGTGTACTCCTTGTTGGTCTGGAGGCCGCTAAAGTGGCGCGCCAAGAAGAGATGGAGCTGGTCCGCGTGCAGCATGCTGCGCTTGGCCGAGAACTCGAGGAAGGACGGCTGGAGCGCCTGGACAAAGTCGTCGTGGAAGCTCCGGAGCGGGCTCTCGAGCTCGCGCGCTACCCATTCTCTTGAGCCCTAGACGTTCATGCCATCGTCTACCTACCGACGATGTCCCACTCGATCTCATGCGACTCGGGCGGGCGGAGGTCCACCATGCGCGCTAATTTGCACTTGGGCGCGGCAAGGTACGGCGACATGGACCCTCCAAACCTTATACTTCGAAGCTCCGTGCGGCAAAAGCGCGCGGCCTGTCGTACTAATTGTATGCGGAGCCCGTTATTGTACCTCTGAAAATAAATACTCAAAATTTCACCCCACATTAGCTAATAATACCATGAGCTTCGAACTTCGGGCGAAATTTCATGGCAAATTTTCAAGATGCTGGACGAGGACAGCAGCAGCAGCAAGCGCAGCACCAAGGTCGTCGACTGCCTCGAGTACGAGAGATGATACGACGCGCTGCATGACCCGCTCATGATGGCGATGACGTAGATGCCGCGTCACGGGCACGATGACGTGTCTCGCTGTCGCCACGTACTCGTTCCATGAACTCGCCAAGACGCCGCCGGCGCAGGTCGGCCACCGCCGATGGCTCTTCGCCTTTGGCTCGGCGTGGGTCGGGGCTGCGATCGCCCGCGCTGTCTACTAGCCATACGTAGCAAGATCGCTCGACTGTACATGAGACTGTATTCTACATTCGCTTAGACAAAGGCCACATCGGCCTCCGGGACGCTGTTGTCGGCCAGAAAGGCCATGCGCGCCGCCACGTCGCCGAGACGCGGTGCCTCGTCGATCGACTCATCTTGCGACTGGTGAAAGGCGGTCGCGGTCGTACCGAGCCACTTGCGCGCGAGTCCGGCGAGCCGCGGAAACATACCGTGGTGTGTCTTCCACCAGCCAAGCGTGTCTTCAATGCCGGGCACGACGGTTGCAAAGTACATTTGCAGCTCGTCCTCGACCGAGAGCGTGTCGATGCCCATCGAGTCGAGGATCTCGTCGCGCGTCGCACCCATGACCTGCTGAAGGTACTTGAGGCTTCGTGTCGTGTTGGTCTTCTTCTTTGGCAGCTGCTTCTCGGAGGCAACGTCGGCGCACTCGGTCGCGAGCCGGTGCTTGACTTGGGCCTTCTCTTCGTCGGTGCAGTGCGCGAGCGTCGCGGCGATGCTCGGGTGCAGCGGACACGTCCACATGGCCGGGTGGTCGTCGAGGAAGCCAAAGAGGAGCGTTTGAAGCATGTGCCGGGCCGCGTTGAGCTCGCACAAGACGGCGGGCTCATCGTCGAGCGAGGCAAACCCGCGCAAATGAAAAAAGCGCGGCGTCGCCAAGTCCCTCGCAAAGAGCTGCAGGATCGAGAGCATGACCGCGAGCGAGTTGGTCGCTGCTTGGCTAAAGACAGCGTGCATCACTTCGAGGCACGGCTCGAGGAGCACGAGGAGCCCTTCGAGGAGGCACCACTCGCGCCGCGAGAGGTTTGAGACCGTGCAAGGAAACGGAAACGACGCAGGCTGTGTCTCGACCACAGAGAAGAAGAGGTCGACACCGGGCTTCATGGCTTGCCACTCGAAGAGGAGACTGTACAGCTTTCGCCACTGCGACGGGCAGTTGACAGTCGTCCGCGCATCAAACCGCTGGTGCGTCGAGACAAAGTGGTCGAGCGTCCGCTTGGCCTTGGGCGTGGCTTGAAAGTACTGGCCGAGCGTGAGGAGGCGCCGCACGAGTGCAGGAATGCTGCTCTCGTCGTCGGTCTCGGTCGAGTGCAGTAGAAAAGGCGGGTCGTCGGCCAGCGCATTTGCATCAACGTCGTCCTTGCCATAGAGAAGGCGGCAGAGCACCGCATGCAGCGTCTGGCCCATGCACATCATGGACGGGACATGCGGCAAGAGGAGGCGCCAGTCGACGTCCGACACGATCATCGTCAGGTGCGACGACGAGAGGTTCCACTCGGAAAGGACGCGGTTGAGCGCTTGGAGCAGCCAGTCGCTGGACGGCTTTTCGCGCGACGTCGACGGCAGCGACTGGTGGCTTAAGAGCAAGTGCCGCCACTCGAAGCTTGGCGTGATGTAGTGCAGCGTCCAGACCAAGTGCGGCTCGGGCGACGACAGATGCATCTTGGCCGAGAGGCTAAAGTACCGGCATTCGTCGTCGAGAAGCGCATGCATCGCCTTGCGCTTCGCCGCGTAGAGCTCGTCCATGTGGGCTTCGAGCGTCGCGCGCGATGGCAGCGCAAAACTACCTTGCGTGGACTGTACGAGCGTGAGGAAGCGCTGGAACGGCTCGTCGGCCACGAGCTCCAACGGGCGCCGGCACGTCGCTAGCCACTCGGCAAGTGCGAGCTCGCACCGCCGCACGTCGTCACTTGGCATCACGAGGCTTGTGGCAGTGGGCGCCGGCTTGTTCTCGGCCACGCGCGCTTCGGTGGACTTGAGCAGCTTCTTCATGTACGCGTCGAGCTCGGCCTTGTGCTTGTTCTTGACGTGCCGGTGGAGGTTCTGCGAGCGCGCATAGTCGTGTGGGAAGCAGTCGTCGCAGAGGTGGCAGTAAAAGTGGCTTGCGTCGCGGGACGTCCAGCCGGTCGCCGGGTTCATCTCGACGTTGGTCGGCGCCACGAGGCTGACGTACATCCAGATTTCTGGGCGGTTGATGTGCTTGACCTTGAAGAGCGACAGGGCGCCGTGCTTGGTCGATCGAAAGGTCGTGGCCGAGGACATGTGCGGTCGCAATCGCTTGGGCTCGGGCAGCGGGAGGTCTTCGACGAGCGACTGCACGAAATTCGGGGTCGGTTCCTTGCGCTTCGCGGTGAGGACGACGACGTTGCTGGGCACCATGTCTTGCTGGATCTGCTGGATGTTGGCGAGGTGCTTCGCCTTCATGTGGCGGTGCAGGTTCTGCAGCCGCGTCGGGTCGTGCCCGAAGACATCGTCGCAGAGGTGGCAGTAGAAGTGCGTGACGTCCCGCGATGCGCACTCGGGCGCATTGCCCGGCGCGACGAGGCTCGCGTTGGCCCAGATCTCGGGCCGCGAGATGTTCTTGAGCTTGAAGATGCGCAGGATGCCATGCTTGACCGACTCGATCGGGACCGTCGTGAACTTGGTCGGGTTGCCCATGGTGAGGAGACTGACGAAGAGAGTCGATCTCACTGCCGACCAAAGTATCTTGAATTGAGTATACAGCGACCATTGGACTCTCAGAGAGCCACCGCGGCGCGCTCCGATTGGCTCCTGCAGCTTCAACAAAGCCGACAACGCCAACCGGTTTGGACGGTTGAGCGTGAAAAACCTTCTATTTCACGTGTTTTTTGTTTCACACATATTGCACACGGATTCGACGTGTGAAATCAAGCGCTCCACTTGGCGAACGACGACGGCTTCCGGAGCATGCAGCCCCGCGTCCGCGACCTCTACAAGCGCTTCCTCGTCGTCGGGAAGGACTACCCGCTAGGCCTCGAGTACGTCCGGCCCAAGGTCAAGGAATCCTTCTTCAAGCAAGCGGCGCTCGCCGATGAGGCCGAGATCAAGAAGGCGGTGAGCCGCGGCCGGTGGATGGTCAAGGAGATGATCGGGGTCATCCAGCTCAAAAAGTATCGCGCGATGAACCAGCGATATACACCGGCTGAGATGCACACGCTACTCCGCGCGCTGCACGAAGAGGCGCAGCGAACCACCGAGAACCACGTCGTCGACGACGACGACGTCTGAAGATGCATGGTGCAGTATATTACTATATCGTGATACGAACATGCGCTCTAGACCCAAGATTCCTCATAAATAAGCGGTGTCGTGTCGGCTCGGTTAGGACAGGGGCAGGATGCAGCACTGCACGTTCACGGGCTGCATAGCGTCGTCGCGGATGACCGAGACCGACACAAACACCTTGCGCTCGAGCGAGCTCGACCCAAAGCGCCACGACATCTTGGCTTGGGCAGAGCTGACTTCGCAGCTGAGGATCTTGGCGACGAGCGTGTGCATCTTGGGCGCGTCGGACGGCGCGCACATGGTGTACAGGCTGTGGAGGCGCAGCTCGTCGTACTTGGCCTGCGAGAGCTCCAAGAACAAGTGGTTTGCCTCCACGATCGTGCCGTCGAGCTTGGTGATGAGCGCGGGCATGCTCGATTGGAAAAACACGTTCTTGAACGTCGCCGACGACTCGTCCACGGTCTCGAGCGGGGCGGCCGGGAGCACTTGCGGCGCGCCCGTCGGCAGCGCCCACATGTAGTCCATGGCCATCGGCGTCGGCACGGGCGACGCCATCGCGTTAAACATGTAGTGGTTGGACGCGTTCATGCTGAGCATCGAATTTTCTTTCGAGTGGCCGCGGGGCAACGTTGCAGGCGTCGCGACCTTGCAGCTGCCACCGGTCGTCGGGGGCGGCGGCGGCCCAATGCCGGCCGCGTTGGCTTCGCGCTCGAGCGCGGCAATGTATTCGATCGTCGCCTGGAGGATGCTGTGCTTGTCCTTCTTGGACGAGACAAACCCGACGCCTTCAAGCTTCTTCTTGAGCTGCTCAAACTGCGTGCCAATGCGAAAGATTCGTCGCTGCTCACGCAAGTTGTGGCGCTGCTTCTTGGAGACGTCGATGGACCCGCCGGGCGTCTGCGCGTCGCTGTACACGGGACTCTCGCACGGCGTATTCATGTCCATCTCAAAGCCGAACGGGTCCGCCCGCGGGTAGTTGGTGTTGATGCGCGGTGGCGCGTTGTTGATCACGTTGAGGTTGATGTGCATCGGGTACAGCGGCGCCTTCCCGTCCTCGTCCTTGACGTACCCCGTCGACGGCGTGACCGGCGCCACGAGCGTGCTCGGCTTCTCCATGCCGGGCGAATTGACTCTAAAAGTCGCCCGCCCAATAATCCACGCAAACCAGATGGGCCGACGCTCTCTTCGTCCTTTTTTCACGCCTTCGAACTTCGCTTCTCCCGCCCATACAAACGCCGAGCTCGAGCCACGGGCACCGAAGCGGCGAGACCGAAGTTGTGGCGGCAAAGGCAGGTTTCGTGCCCCCGCCACACAATTTTGCCGAAATGTCTTTACGCAGTCGCTTCGCCCCTCAAGCCAACTAGCTTAAATCGCTCTAATAGTGGCGAGTCATCGTGTCAATGACGCAGTCCCTCGTGACGTTGTCGCGCTGAGGCCAACGACCAAAGGGGGCGTAAGGGCGGACAGGGAACCGACTCGAACACCGATTCGACGTCAGTAGAGCGCGTCTCCAAGGCCCGAGTACTGTTTGAAGTTGCAAAGAGTAGCATCGCCAAAGATCGCGAGATTGAAATGCAAGTTACGTGATAGAGCGTTACCGAATGTACGAAACGCTTCTTGCGCACGCCAGTCGCTCGAACGGCAGCGCTCACTATCCGGATACGCTCGGCGAGATGGTGGTGCTCGTGGCCATGGCGACCGTCGCGGCCAGCGTCGGCAACCTCGTGAAGGTGCAAGGCCAGCTCCTGCGCAAGCGGCGCTTCTCGTACGCCGACGCTTGCTCGCTGTCGTCGCGCTCAGATATGTATCTAGGAAGGCGCTCATCTTTGGCGACATCAAGTTGCCCGATGGATGTACAACCATTGGCTTGGAAGGGCGATGCTGATGGCTTTTTGCGTCTAGCGCTGCTCGAACTCATGATCCGCGCTGCCGACGCATGGCTCACAAAGGACGACATCGTGCAGCTCAACTGGGCGCTGCACTTGGGCGACACCGTCACACTCGACGGCCGCGTCGAGACGACGGCCAAAGGGCACCTCTTGCTCGTCGTGCGCTCGGCCGTCGTCAATGTGCGCTGGGAAGAGCAGCATCCAGGTACATACATACACTGGGAGGCTGGTCGACGACTGTTTGCGTGCGGCAGGCGTCCCGTTTGGCCATGGCGCGACCGACCTCATTGCGCCGTCCGAGAGCTTTGGACAGCGAAAGGAGTACACGAACATCGTGCAGATCCAAGGCCACAATGCGTGCAAGTACTACTTCAACAACGCGTCGTGCGTGCGCGGCGCCGACTGCCACTTCTGGCACGGGTAGCACCTCACGACGACCACCACCATTCATTCGCTCATGGTAGACCGCCCGAGGACTACAAGGCGCTGCGGGCCGAGTGGTTTGCACGCCGTGGTACGCAGAAGCGCGAGCAGGCGGCGCTCGACGGCGACGTCCACGACCCGCACGAGAAAGGCATGAAGGCGCAGCGGGCGCGCATCTTCTGCGACTGGCTCGTCGCAACCTTTGGGGTCGACGTACTGAGCGCGGGCGCGGGCGTTGTCGACGTCGCAGGCGGCAAAGGCGACATTCCTTTTGAGCTCTTCAACAAGCGAGCGATTCCCGCGACGCTCATCGAGCCCGTACCTCTCTCCTTCATACGATATGCAAACGCTAAAGACGCGTATGGAGATAGCGGCCACGCCAGCCGCGCAAGGTCCACCACAAGCACTTTGCCAAGACGCAGACGACGCCGAGCCGCCACGTACGACGACGCTGTATCCGCCATGTAAGAAGAATACCCTCTGGCGTAGATCCAAGCGTGCTTGGACCCATCGCTTCTGGCCGCCGAGGCTGCCTTCTTTGCCGAGACCTCGGTGTTTGTGGGCATGCACCCGGACGAAGCGACCGAGCCGATCGTCGACTGCGCCCTCGCAGCCAACAAGCCGTTCGCGGTCGTGCCGTGCTGCGTCATGAGCCGCAAGTTCCCGGACCGGCGTCACGATGGCGAGGTCGTGGGTACGTACGACGCGTACATTGCGTACCTCCGCGCCAAGGATTCGCGCATCCAGAGTGCATTCTTGCCGTTTGCGGGCAAAAACCAAGTGCTCTTTGTACTGCCGTAGACAATTATGGGATGCAAATGCTACTGCGGTCATGCGAGCATCGAATCTACGGCTTGAACTTGTTGGTGGCCTTGATGAGCTCGGCGACGATGCCGGGCTCGCCCGCCGAGTGGCCCGCGGTCTGCACGATGTGAAACTCGGCCTCGGGGAACGCCTTGTGGAACTCCCACGCCGTCTCCATGGGGCACACGACGTCGTACCGGCCCTGGACGATCACGGTCGGGATGTGCCGGATCTTATACACGTTGTCGATGAGAAAGTTGGGCGTCGGGAGGAAGCCCTTGTTGACAAAGTAGTGGTTCTCGATGCGCGCAAACGCCTCGGCGAAGCGCGCGTTGGCCATCGACTTGTCGACCGCGTCCGTCGGCGGCTTGAGGTTGCTCGTCGACATCTCCCACGTCGTCCACGCGAGCGCCGCGGCGAGCCGCACCTTCTCGTCCGGGCTCGTGAGCCGGCGGTGGTACGCCGAGAGGAAGTCGTGGCGCTCGTCCACCGGGATCGCGTCGCGGTACGCCTCCCAGCGGTCGGGGTAGATGAAGCTCGCGCCCGACTGCATTCGACACATGATGAGCTCCTGCTTGAATATCGACGTGCTGTTACCTGGTAGTAGAACTGGATTTCCTTGTCGCGGATGTGGAAGATACCACGAAGCACGAGCTCCGTGACGCGCGTCGGGTGCATCTCGGCGTACGCCGTCGAGAGCGTCGAGCCCCACGAGCCGCCAAACACCTGCCACTTTTCAATCGCAAGCTCTTCGCGCAGCTTCTCCATGTCAGCGATCAAGTGCCACGTCCTAGGTCCCATGAGGCTAACGTTTCGCGCGAGTAATTGCGTACGTGTTGTCTTCGAGCGACGCATGGGGCGTGCTGCGGCCTGAACCACGCTGGTCGAAGGCGATGATGCGGTAGACCTTTGGGTCGTGGTACCGGTTCATCGTCGGCGTGCAGCCACCGCCAGGACCACCGTGCACAAGCACGACGGGCTTACCCTTCGGGTTGCCGCACTCTTCGTAGTAAATGCTGTGCGTCGGCGACACTTGAAGACGACCTGTCTTGTACGGCTTGATCGCAGGGTACAAGAAGTCCTCGGCCGTGCACTGCGACTTGTCGGGGAGGTCCCACTTGGAGGCGTCGCAGGCAGCCGTCGTGAAGAGCGCGACCGAGCCTGCAAGCGCAAGGAGAGCGCCGGCGCGGGCCTGGCCTTGGGGCGTCGCGGTCGCTTGGTGTACCGTCGCGACGAGCGCGGAGCTGGAGCGGAGCTGCGTCTTGCCAAGCGCCAAAGCCGTGCGGGTGAGTCGCTGCATCTTCGATGTCTCCGGGAAAATGCCAGCCCCTCGTTGCGCCGGATTGGCCCACAAACAGACGTGGCGTCCTTCAAGCGCGAATCTGATTACACTTATTTATTTTATATACATCATATTTGTATGAATCAGATCCATTTTTAATCCAATCTCAGCACTTAGCGTCGAATTGCCACAAACAAGTACACAGATACCAGGGGTAGGGTTTTGACCGCAAGGCGATCTTGGCTACAATTTGTGCTTCGACCCCAGCAACGGGAGCGGCGCCTTGCACAGCACGACTCGAGCTTCTGCGAGTCCTCATCACTCCCTTGACTCGCGGAGCTTCACCTTTACTCGTGCAAGCAAGTGGGGTATCCCAGCTGCACTTTCTATCCCGATGACTGCACTGTATCAGCAACGCTTTGTTGGAGCCTACAGTGGAGCATGTTGGGCGGACGCTGCGCCGATGGGGTGCCAAGTGGTGCCGAAGTATTTGCTCCAAGAGCTCTGTTGCCGAGGCGCATCGTTGACAGGATTCCTGCTCTTGCAAAGCAGCCTTGCCTTGGCTCTTGGCTGCACATCCCATGCTGCGAATGAAATTTTGCGGGGTGATAGCTACTTTCGCGATGGACGACGCAAAGAGGAAGAGGAATGTGATGTATATCGTCGTTAACGAGCTCCTTCGCTCGCAAAGATAGGATATCGACTAAAATGTACGTGGCCACGGGTGCAAGGCCAGTAGGTTCAATAGAACGTAGCTTGTTATACAAGAGTGCTTAGAGCATGGCGGCAGCGATGAACGTGGCGGCGCCGAGGAGAGCGATCGAGGCGTGCGTGGCGACACCAGCCGACGGGGCAGACGTCTTCGAGCCCGTCGAGCTGCCCGTCGAGTTGACCTTGACCTTCGTGGCGCAGTTGGCACCAGCGTAGCCCGAGTTGCACACGCACTGGCCGTCAATACCGCACGAGCCCTTGCCGTTGCACATGGTGACGTCCGTGTTGTTGTTCATCGTGGGATCGCAGAGCGAGCACTGGTTGCCGATCGAACCCGGCGGGCACTTGCAGAGACCCGAGGCGAGGTCGCAGTTGCCAAGACCGCACTGGCCGTACGTGTCGCAAGTGTTGCCCGTTGCGTTGAAGCAGTTGTCGTTGATCGAGTAGCCCGTCGAGCAAATGCACTTGTAATCGGGGCTGAAGCTGTTGGTCGGGGCGCACGAGCCGTGGCCGTTGCAAAGGCCAAGGTTGACCGAGACACCGCCCGAGGTCGACGCGTTACCAGAGCACGACGTGATCTGCTTCTGCGTGTACGTCAAACCGTACGACTTGCTCACGTAGAGCTTCTTGTCGACGCAGCGGTAGATACCGTTGACCTTGACAGGGTCGGAGCCATCGTTCGACTGGTACGTCATCTGGTAGCACGTGACGTTGCCCGGCTTGGCCGTCGCGGCTTCCTTGAGCGAGCGGCGGACCTGGACGACCTGGCCCTGGGCGTTCATAGCCGAGTTACAGTTCGGCGCAGGCACAAAGGCGCAGACAGGCTCGACCTGGCGGTAGTTCTCCGGCTTCCAGTTCGAGAAGCTGGGGCACGCGCCAGCGACGTTACCCGAGCACACGACACCCTGGACGCACTGCTTGAGCAACTTGACGCCGGTGATGTCCGACTCGACGGAGATGCACTGGAAGCCCTTCTTGCAGTCCTCGGACTTGTTGCAACGACCGGGCTGGGTGGCGAGCGTGACCTCGTTGATCGGGGCGTCGGTGGCCGAGCCCGAGCCGCTCTGGGCGGCGACCGAGGCGGCGGCCAGCGTGAGGATCCAAGCGGAGAGCTGCATCTTCGGACTGTGGAGGGCGAAGCGAATTGGTTAATGCCAGCCGACCGCGCTATTCCGACTGGGATGTGTAATGCTGGCGTAGCATCTCTGGAGAAAATCACGCTTTATTTCCTCCACAAGGCCGGTTGGCGTTAATTTTCCCAAGAAAGCGCGGCCCAACTTGAAGTTGATAGGATCTTGAAACGAATTCATCACGTTAGTATCCCCATAATAATTTGTTGCAATCGCCTCAAAAGCAGAGAAATGTATCCAATCCCAGCCGCTTTCGCGCCGGCTTTAGTAAAATCGAGGCAGTAACTCTGGCCAGGCGGCCAGCAGCGCCGACCCCGATTGGCTGCGCACCTTGAACGCACGTCCTGACGATTGTGCATCTTCTTTACGGGGTCGAGGACGACGACGCCTCTAGCACTCGGTCCTCCATCGATGAGTCCGTGGGGGGCCTTCTGCCATACGAATGATACCTGTGTGATGGGTGCCTCAGTTTGCGTGTCAGAGACCCGAGCCATCAAATGTGATGTACAGTCACGCCCACCGTGTCTCGCGCAGTGTCTACCGGTATCGATTTTCGGGTGGCGTGTATTTAGAAAGCGTGGACTGGATGCGGCGTTCGACACTCTGCCGGCGGCTGCTGCTGTGTCCCATGAAGATGCAGCGAGACGGCATGCGACTTGCGTGTTTTTGTATGTAGTTCAGATACTATTACCAATATTAATACTCGACGAGGACGCTCTATGCGCCCTTCTTCCGCAGTGTGTGGAAGTGCACAAACTTCTTCTTCTTGCTGCTGGCCTTGGCCGCGATCTTCTTCTTCTTGAGGAGATGGTCCTTGCGGTTGGTCTGCTTGAGCGCCGTCTCGTTGGCGATCTCGGCTTCGACCGCGCCCTCCGTGTCGACCATGGCCTCGTCCGGCACGTCGGGCACCATCGGCGCCTTCGTGCTGCCCATCGCAAGCTTGAGCGATGCGAGCGTCGAGCCGCTCTGGATCTCGAGCGTCTTCTTCAGGTTCTCCTGGATGAGCGCCTGCTTCTTCTCGAGGTCATCCTTCCCGATCGTGTTGCGGAGCTGACGACGGAAGTACTTCTTGATCTTGGAGCGAATCGACTTGGCCATGGTTCGTTCCCGGAAATGGCGCTATGTAGCAATCCAAAAGGGCCAATCGCAAAGGGGCGTCTACACCAACCACTTCAACCAACCGTTTCATTGGTGGATGCTCCGCATATTAATATAATATCACATTTGAGAGGTTTTACCCGCGCATGCATTCATCGGCACTATGCAATGTGACAGGTTGTTGATTTGGACTAGGTGCACGCAACCGCGGTGAGTCACAGCGCGGCTTTCCGCTGCCCAGATAACGCTGGCAGCTTCGAAGCCGCAACGACGCATGACCTCTAATGCTAGAAGAATAGCAATCCGTGTCTCCTGCAGTGTGCAATGCGCTACTGCCATCGCTGTGTACCATCTTGCGCGACATGGCGCTTCCCGCGATCTTTGCCTTGCAGTCTCCAGAACCTGGCGTAATGCTCGACGTTACGGACGCGCCTTTGACAAGATTCGAGTCGCGGCAACGGCAGTCACGCGGGCGAGTCACGTGGGACAGGAAACGAGAGCGCGTAGCGTCGATGAAAGCGATCCTGTCCTCTAGCAGGCACCAACTCGACTTGGCCAACTCTGTACGTGGCGTGTTTTTAGCCCACGAGATCTTTTCCGACGAGCATGGACGCGGCCTGCCCCGTGTGTGAGCGCCACTTCTACGCCCACAACATCCAGGCCCATGTTGAGGAGTGCTTGGCGCGGTCCATGGCGCCGTCGCCCCGGACGCCCAAGCTACAGCGCCCGCCAGCGCGACCCCCGACGCCGCCCAAGCGGCCCGTCGAGGCCGAGCCCGAGCCAACTGCAAAGCGTACCAAGCTGGTCGCGCTCGCGAACGCACCGATGGCGGAGAAGTTGCGCCCGACCAGCCTCGACGAGATTCTCGGGCAAGACGAGCTGCTCGGTTCGGACAAGCCGCTGCGGCGCATGCTCGAGAGCGGCAAGGTGCCCAACATGATCCTGTGGGGCCCGCCGGGGTGCGGGAAGACGTCGCTTGCGATGCTAGTGGCGCGGCTCGTCCAGCCAGCGACCAAGTTTGTCGCGCTCTCGGCAACGACCGCCAAAGTCGCGACGGTCCGAGACGTCTTTGAGAAGGCAATGGCCGAGCACAAGCTTCTTGGTCGGGCGACGGTGCTCTTTGTGGACGAGATCCATCGGTTCACCAAGGTGCAACAGGACTCGTTCTTGCCGTGCGTCGAGAACGGAACGATCACGCTCATTGGCGCGACGACCGAGAACCCGTCGTTCGAGATCAACTCGGCGCTTCTCTCGCGCTGCCGCGTCTTTACGCTCAACAAGATCTCGACGCCTTCGATCCTAGCGCTGCTGCAGCGCGGCGTCCGCAGCAACCTCCTCGTACCCCACGGCTGTGACCCCGAGGCGCCTCCGACCATCGACGTTGACGACGCGGCGCTCGAGTACCTCGCCCATCAGTGCAACGGCGACGCCCGCATCGCGCTCAACTCGCTCGAGATGGCGGTGCACGGCCAGCGACCGTCCAAGGACTCGAACACAATCAAGCTCACGGAGGACGATGTCAAGGCGGGTTTCCGCCGGTCGCATGCCCTCTACGACAGGAAGGGCGACGCGCACTACGACTGCATTAGCGCGCTGCACAAGTCGGTGCGGGGCAGCGACGCCGACGCAGCGCTCTACTGGCTCGCGCGCATGATGCAAGGCGGCGAGAATCCGCTGTATGTCGCTCGGCGGCTCATCGTGATCGCCTCGGAAGACGTCGGCCTCGCAGACGCCCAAGCGCTGCCCTTGGCCAACGCAACGTTCCAGGCCTGTCATACGATCGGTAGCTGTCCCTGAGGTCTATCACTCAGAACTTTAGAGTGGTCTAGGCATGCCCGAGTGTGAAATCAACCTGGCGCACTGCGTCGTGTACTTGGCCCGCGCACCCAAGTCGGTCGAGTCGTACAAGGCGTATCGCAAAGTGCAAGAGCTCTTGCTACAGTCGGTGGGACCGACACCGGAGGTGCCACTGCATCTTCGCAACGCCCCGACGCCCCTCATGGCCAACCTCGGCTACGGCAAAGGTCCCGCCATCGCCCACGATGTAGATCTGACATCTGATACGATGGTTCTAGAGTACAAGTATAACCCCGACTACGAGGGCCAAGTCGACCAGACGTACCTTCCGGACGCGCTACTCGGAACCCCTTCCTTTTTTGAGCCCAAGTACGCCACCAAGAAGACAAAGAAGCCGGAGTAGTCAAGTATTTAGCTCTCGTCACAGGTATCAAAGAGGCGGCCGGGTGCTGCGTCGATCAAGTTGTGCGACGACGAGAAGCTCAACACGGTTGTCTTGGCCGTGGACGGCGTGGGCCGGCGCCACGTTCGCTTGCCGTTGTGTTCCATCAGCAACGCAACGAGTCGCACGTTCGTCTCGCGCATCGCGTCGTCGACCTGGACGTCGTTGGTCTTGAGAACGGCTTCGGCGCAGTTGAGGGGCATGAGGTCGTCCTGCCACGCTTTAGCACACGTCCCAAGTGTTATCAACACAGAAACCTGCGCGACGGCGTTGACGTCGGCGTCGTACAGTAGCAGCAAGGCGGCGATCCCGACAAAGTTCTTGGTGCACGCCACGTGCAACGGCGTCCAGAGGTCGGGCTTGCGCTAAGCTCATGCACGTGGTACCAAGAGCACTAGAATCCTCGACCGACCTGGTGATTCACATCGAGATGCGCGTGGAGAAGGATGCGAAGAACGGGCTGGAGCACGTCGTCTTCATGCGTGGCCTCTTGAATGACGCGATGCAAAAGGTCCTGCAGGAAGGGATGCAGGAGGAAGAAGCCGTGGTCAACCATGAGCTTCATGACGTCCATGCGCCGGTGCAAGCACGCGGCCTGGAACATCTTGATGTAGTAGTACGACAGCGTCTGGTCGTGCAGGTCGTCGACGCTGGCAATCATGTCGAGGATCGCACGGACGTGACCACGCCCCGCGAGCTCGACGAGCAAGCGGCTGTTGGCAAGGACGATGGCGGCGGTCTCGGGACTCGACGCACGCAGGTCCGCGACCCACGCCATCTCTTCTTGGACCGTCTTTACGATCGCGAACGCCATCCTTTGTCAACTGCCCTTTCTGCAGCCCAAGATCCACAATCTGCGCGTTTGATTGGCCCATGAAGCGCCGCGCATCCCGATTGGTCGCCCGCAAGATCGCAACACGACAGAGCATGGGCAACACCGAGAGCTGCCGTGGCCTCGCGTCCGAGCTCGACCGACTCGAGAGCACTCTGTCGGTGCTCGCGGCGACCAACCCAGTGGGCATCCGGCCGCTCCGAGCGCACCAAGTCCACGTCCACGGCGCCGTCCTCAACTGCTCTCTAGGCATGACTTTCCGCCCTTGATGTAGGAGGCGACCACGTGCACGTAGATGTGCGCGTCACCATTGGCCCAGTCGTTGGCGTCGTCGGGCCCAACAAGGCGCGCATTCTTCTCGAGGTCAGCACGGCCACTGCCATCACATGCCATCTCACACGCCAAGAGCGGATGACGGGCCACTTCCTGGAGGTGCCCTCGGCCCGCGTGACGGTCGCCGCACCCGCCGGCGCGCCAGTGGTCTTTGTCATCACGCAACTGCTTCCCGATACGACCTACTACTATGCGTTTAGCGGCGTCTGCAAAGACGATGCGCGGACGTGCCACGGAACGTTCCATACGCTCGCCGTCGACGACACGTCGCCGCTGCAAATCGCCGTGGTGAGCGGCCAGGACGCGTTTGCTCCAGGCGAGAGCGATCTCTGGCAGCAGCTCGCCGCGCGCGTCCAGCGCGATGCAATATCGTCGTCGCCCGAGACGATGCCACTGCCCGTGCAGTATGTGCTGCACCTCGGCGGCCAAATTGCACTTCAGCGAGCCTTTGAACAAGGCTACGTGCTCTTGACGCGCCACGCGCAGTCGCTTGCGACGACGTTGCCGAGCACGATGACGTGGGAGGCCATGGAAGCAAAGGTCGTTGCGCTCTTCCGCGACGCGTACCGGTTCCAGTGGCGCCTCCCCTTCGTTCGGGACGTCCTCGCCAACACGTCTAACATCATGATGTGGGGCGACCACGATGTCTACGCCAACTTTGCACATGCTAGTGTCTTCCAAATGAACCACGAACAGCCCTCGCTCCACGTACGTATGCGATCTTCCTTGCCATCACTGGACGCTGGCGCCGAGTAGATGCAAGTCATGCGTCTCCTCTTGCGCTCAGCGCGCCGGGTGTTTCACGAGTACCAGCGGCAGCTCTGGGACGACGACTTTGGCGCCTTCTCGGCCGAGACGGTACGGCAGCACGCCAGGGAGATGCATGCAACGCGACAAGTAGGCGCGACGCATCGCACTTGCCGAGAGCGGTTTTCAAGCAACGAGCGAGGTCGCCCAGCGGCAGCTGGAGCTGCATGAGCTGGAGCAGACCATGGCCATCTCGAAGCGCCGGATGGAGTTTGCCACAACCAAGATGTACGAGCAGCGCGTCGCCGTGCTCCGTACCGAGCTCGACGCAGTACGTACTTTGCATCTCGGCGCCGCGTTGTCACAGTGCTAGCTTCGGTTGCAAGCGGCGGCGGCGCGCGACGAGCTTCTCGCGGTGGACCGAGGTGAAGAGTTTTGTGTTTGGACCGAGCGCCACATTGCCTTTCTCTGCTTGGACATGCGCGGCAGCCATCTGGCTCCGGGGGGCGTCCCGACGCCCGACAACCCGATGTGGAGCCCCGCCCAGTGGGACTTTGTCACCAGCATCCTCGCCGAACCGCGAACACGCGTCCTTGTCGTCTGCAGCGAGCTTCCCATTGCTGATGCGACCAGCGCGAGCGTAGAAGCACTTCTTGCATCCGAGCCAACGTCGTCGTGTGCGTCGTGGTGGGGGCGCCGACCGGAGGACCAGCACCGACTCTTGTCGCTGCTTGCCGACTGGCAAGTCGAGGTACTTTGGCTTGATCCTCTGCCACCTAACGCAATCTCGATAGCGACCCAACCGACTCGTTTTGCTCTTGTCCGGAGCGAGTGCGACGCGCTGGCCGATCGCGTCGGTTGTACAGGACGTGACGATGCGCGCGTCGATGCCGCAGTACGTGGTGGGCCCCATGACGATGACACCGTCGACGCGGACGCTGCCGGCACTCTCCGCGACGCTCAGCGACCGGTTCGTCGTGACGCACACCATCGAGCGGCCACTCGAGACCAACTTTGTTTTGTGCCAGCTCACGGCGTCGGCCGATCGTGATCCGACGTTGCACGTGACGCGCCATCGTCAGGTAGCACCACACAAGCAGGCATTCCATGACGTCACCTAGATGGCGTCGACGGCGCGCGTGCTTCTGGGGCCAATCGTCGGACTCGTCGATGCGTTCTCGAGTGTCATTCTTCTCGAGGTTGATCGCGATGCGTTCGTGACCTGTTTGGTCACAAACGTCGTCAGTGGCGCGACCCAGCGACTGCTGCAGAAGCTTCCGGCGCGGCGGCCAAAGCGTTTTCACTTCACGCAGCTCGCACCGCAGCAACACTACAGCGTGCGCTTCCCTCCTGCACTGGGCGGTGTCGGCATGCGCTTGTAGGTCACGTTTCTCGGGCTCGCCGAGCCATCGACGCTGTGCCACTTTGCGACGCCGGCCGAGCGTCCATCGCGGTTCGACTTGGCCCTCTTGAGCCACGACCGCTTGCGGTCGTTCCCGTTGGTGCCAGAAGGGTCCGTGCTGCCGCCGACGCTCTGGAGCACGCTCGAAGCGTCGCTCGCTGAACCGTTCAGCGCCCTCACGCTCGTCTTGCACCTCGGCGGCCAGGTGCAGAGCGTAAATCTTGGTCGCATATTCAAGCCGAGATTCGTAGATTCATCCGCGTGAGCATGCGTCCGTCGATGCGGCGCGGGCGATGCTGCACCCCGTCGCCGCCGACACCGACCTTGTCGACGAGCAACTGCGCAATGTCTACCGTCACCACTGGACGCTGCCGACGACGAGGTATCGCGGCGACGACGGCATCTGGTTGACGGTGTACACAGAAATGCGCTGGCGCTCGGCGCACACCTCATGGTGCCAAGCGAAGTCGACGTCCTCGAGCTGCCCGAGGGTATCGCGCGGCCCGATCGGCCAGCAGACACGGCGGTGCTCTCATCGCGCTTGCAAGCGATCGCATCCGAGTACCAGCTCCAGCTCTGGCCCGACTCGAGCGTCAAACCCTATCCCTTTTGCCATACCTGGGGACCCTTTGGTCTCTTTGTGTGGCCCAAAACGGTACCGTTAGCTTCTTGGACGGACGCTGTGCGAGCACGCGCCTAGTCGGCTGACGTGCGCTGGTCGGCGCTCTCTGCTTTTCTGGCGCAGCCATCACTGACGACGCTTGTCATGGCCTGCGACCAGCCATTGGTCGACGACTCGGTCGAGGACCTCCGCGAAAAGGTCATGCGCTGCCTCAGACCATGACGCCTCAGCTTCGCTGTAGGCAAAAACGCAGCCGCGCCCGTACGGCAGCACGTTCCCAGCGCACGCCGACGACCTCCTCCGCCTGCTCGACGTGCTCTTTCACTGGCATCGCAAGGACATTACGTACGAAGAAGTGACTACTGCTTGAAGAAGTTGACGTGCGTCTAGACAGGTGGTGTTTGTGTGCGGCCACGAACACTTTGGCTTTGACACGCTCTTGCAAGACGCGGTCGCACGCCACTTCTGCGTGCGCCAGTACGTCGTCGGGTCGCTCAGCACTACGTCGACGATCGAGCAGCGCATGGCGTACCTCGCAACTGGCTCGATCGGCACCACGATGACGTTTGCCCACAACTTTGACGCGTCGTATCTGGGACCGCACTTCGGCCATTTGACGCTGGGACCGACGGAGCCCGCGGCCTACGAGGTTGTGACGCTTACGGGCGACGAGAGCAGCCTCGGCGACAGCTACACACGCGCCCCCGCTGCGAGCTGGTACCTTTCGCCGCAGCTGCCCGAATGGCTGCACGCGGTAGGCTACGTCCGTGCTCAGTATAGTCTGCTGATACAGGACGGCGGGTTAGGTCAATGCCAGTGAGCCAACGAGCTACAGCGTACTCTGCGGCCATCTATGAGTACTATCTTTTGCATTGAGGGTCACGGCACTACGGCAATCCTTGGCCAAGCGCATCTGTTGGTTGCTTGAGCTCGCACTTACAAAGACTATATTAGCATCACACTAAATATCGAGTGGTCGGGCAAGTGCAACCTCATCTTTTGGTTGCGATGGCGAAGCGCGTGGTGACCTTTGTGACTGGCAACAAGAAGAAGCTCGAGGAGGTCGTTGCGATCCTCG